TGTAATTAGTCTAATCATTAGAGTTGGAGTTCCCTTTACGCGCGAGATTATTCTTTTGCAGAATCGAATCTGGAGTTGGAGATCTCGCAGGTGGTTCAGAAACATCTCGTCTGTTATATATGCCAGATAATGCTAGACTCTTGGAGAACTTTATGAGAGGTGAAAACTGCATCCAATGGGGCATATACAATTACTCTAAAATGTCCGCATGGAACGATTTGTGTTGCGGGCTGAAACTGAAATATATTTGCCAACAAGTGGAGACTTGTAATTAGATTCAATACTGGGTTTTTACTCCAAACTGATTTTACGTTTCGTTGTAATTTGCATTTCTGATAATGAAATAAAGGTCCCCTTGTATTATAAGGAGTATTATTTATTTGGATTGGGTAGCAGATGGCAAACTTATTTATTCCAATTATTAGATAGACAGAATTATTGTTTAATTTAAAATGGTCAATTGGTAAGGAATAATATTTTTTTGGGCAAGAACTATGAATGCTCCTAGATTTTAGAAAGGGCACGATCATGTCACAAGAGGACTAATGCATCAACTCAAAAAAATCGGTTGATTCCAGCCCCCAAATAACAAGTTCTGATAGCTTGTTGTAGCAGTTTGCTATTGTTTTTGTAAATGAGGCCCGAATCGTACAAAATTATGATCATAAAAAATGTTGCCGATCTCAACATTGCATCAGCTCTATTGATTTTCGGAAATAATTTAATGAGAAATTTCGTGATTTAAAAGTTTTACTAGTATACTCAAGTGTTTCAATTAAGTGAGTAATCTCATAATTGAAGTTTTAAAAATTAAAAGATTCAAATTTCTGACAGACCAAAGTTGCAGGCAAATTAGACTAACATAAATATATAATATTTACGATCCCATTTATGTTCATCGAAACGGAATCCTTAACACAAATTGCTAGGATTTCACTTTAAGATAACCAAAAAAATTAAGAAGTATTCAGCCTTCAAAATCAAAACTGCAGAAAACACGCATCACAGAAAGCGGTGTAAAACAAACCCAGGATTTCAAATTTTGATTGACTCCAGATATTTCCCCGTTAAGTTATCCCAACACAAGAAGGTTGGCTGATGAGAATAAGGTGAACTAATTAGTGTTTGTGGACCTTGAAGGCAAAACATTTTGTGAGTTGCAGATGCAAAACTAGTGATTTTTAGGAACTGCCCACTGTAAATTATCTTTTTTGCTTTCCTTTGTTTCCTTGCATTAATGTTGATTTGGGTATCTTGAATTTCTGTTCGGCTTTTTTAAAATTTGAAGCAAAATAATGATATATCGCCTTATGATTGTTTTGCAAAATGTCCCGTTTGATCTACATAAATATGTGAGTTTAGACTTTGGGCCATAGAACTAGTAAGTTTGGCTTTATTGTTTATTTTAAATAACAATACTCCAGCTGTAGACAAGTTCTGTAAGGTTGAGGCGAATTCATGTTTTCAAAATCTTTTTGTTAGGCATTGTTTCGCCTCAAATTTTTTTCCGTTGATAAAACGCAGGGAGTGTTTCCATTTTACAATAACAAAGAATAATAAAGAAATTAATTTAAAAAATGGTTTGAACTTTCGAGAGCGAATCTGCATTCGTTCTCAAAAGATACCTAGGATTTTAAGCAACTGTTTAACAACAAACAACAAATTGATGTGAGTTTTCGCTTATTATCAATCACTCTTTTTCAAACTGCAATAAAAATGTGAAAAAATTCTATCTTTTTTCAAAGGCAGTAACTTTGTTTTGAAAACGAATCTTGTTGATCAACACTGAATGTTTTTCTTGAGGGTCCGTGGCGCGTGGTTATTTTCATACTGCTATTACCTAGATAAATATATGGAAATTGCGAGTGATTTTCGGAACACTTTAATGAGGACCGAACCCGAAACAATTTGTTTAGATTATTTCATGCAGTGCATTTCAATAATCAGTGAGTTAATATTTCATAATCTGAAAGTTTGAAGATTAAATTAGTGTCAATAAAAAATACTTATGCACATATGGATTACGCCTGAGTAACACTGTGTTGAGTTCCGCTTTTGAGTTGTTGCCGCTCTCTAAGTTAATGAGTTCTAACTCCTTGGTTGAAGCTGAAAAGGGTTTTCTTCAGTTCCCTGCAAACCGATCAATGAGGCGAATTTTGTAGCAAAATCAATTTTGTCATTTTTGGCTGCAAAGACCCCATATGACTGTCAGAAGCGAAGAAAATCATCAGAAAATTAAATTTTTTTGCGTTTTTGATTAAAAAATTTAGTTTTGTGATCGGTTTTGCGGAAACCTTAATAGTTTTCGGGATAAATATATTTTCGTTCTTGTCCCAAATTCGACTCCGAAAAAAGTTTTTGTCAAATTCCTTCAAAGCTATAAATACATCCTGTACTTTTTCGAGAAAAATAAATCCAGATCGTCAGTATTTTTATGTAAAACTCTACAAAATAGAGCGTTTTTGAGTACAAAGCAACGCAAAAAAAATTTCGTCAAAAATCAAAAACCACATTTTTTTAACAAACACTATAAACACTATAAGTTTTCAAATAATTTATTATAAACTTTCGCTTATTTAGTTCTTTTTTTGATAGAAAATTATTTAATTTTTGTCCAAAACCCGAAGCTGGAAACTGATTTCAAATTTTTTACAAAGCCACGAAGGAGACGCGTGTCCTAATGAAATTTATTTCGTAATTTTTCGTGAAAAATATCTTAATTGTCAGTATTTTTAAGTGAATTTTTTGAAAATTGAGCAATTAGAAAAAAGAGTAACTTTGCTAAAACTGGAAAATTCAGAAGTTTTGAAGAAATGTTAAAAATATTATTGATAAATGTCGTAAATATTATAAATTAATAAGTCGCAGTATTTTAATTGTCGAAGTTGTAGATTCGTAGGTTCGAAGACGATATGGAATTACTGTGGCACCAGAATCTAGGGCTTGAATTAGATCAATATACTATTTTGCTAGTCATACTAGGTTTAATGAACAATACGCTGTGCTTTAAAAGTGAACATAATAGCGTTAAATTGACGAAAGGAAACACGAATACTTATTGATTTCTTATGAATGACTTTATGCCCGTTACAAAAATACTCAGTTCCTATCCTTTTAATATTCCATAAAATATAGTCGTCATTAATAAACGCAACAGCCCACGTTTTCTGAATTTCCCGAATTCCCGTTTCACAAGGACGAAAGGAAAATCAATATTCTAGTGGAAGATCAGCACTGTGGGGGCAACAGGAAAATGGCGGAAAACCGTGTGTTGGCGACATATGTCTTGGATGGTTACCCAAAAGTGTTTCTGTGATAATTTCGGCCCATCTGCATAACAATAAATATGGTAATGCTGCTTTATCAGTGGGGACAAGAAATGACTGAGCATTAAATCGTATAGCTGAAATTGCTTGAACAGATAATAGTTATAAAAGCTACGGTGAGTAGAAGCTATTCTGTGTTAGTTAAAAATTAGTATTGAAAGTGGTAAGTTGCTAATGTATCAAAACATTTTCCAAGTTCCAAAAGCGTTTAGTCTATATATCATAAAGGAAGTACATAATCAAGCCTTTGAGGTTGAAAAACCAATAAAAATTTTGTAGTTAAATTGATTTATAATCTAGTATATAAATACATACACAGTCTATATAGTTTAGGAATTCATCTGAAAGGTTTTGGGAGTTAATAGTAGAGACAATTGCGAACTTGCATACTCAAAATATTACAGTTCTTAATAGGTATAGGTACTGCTTCCGAWGAATGATAATAAAGCGATAGTAGRGTAGCTGATTTTTTATTGTTTCTAGTCAAATTATTGCAGATCAATAATAGCCGTTAGACATTTTTGTAAAAATTATCTTTTCTTCAGTTTTTGAACAATTTAAATGTAGGAAAGAAGCTCTAGCATGAGCTAATACCARAACATCAACATAAAAGACGTAAATAGCATGAGAATCGTATATCGTTTCCATATAAGAATACTCAATGAACATTGAACAAACAATTCTGCCATCCYCATCAGTATCCTCTAGCGACTTCTAACGTTCTATTCATTAACTCCCGTTATGATGGTCAATAAGTGGCAATTTATGTAATTTGGTTTAATCGAATTACTGTACGATTAAGCTAGATATAATATATTTATTGTACGAATTAACCAATCTGAAAAGTATATTAAAAACGCACAAATTGCACGTCAAGGGCCAGATGAAAATGAAATTGTTTTTAATATTTTTCTTTCAATTACCTACTGTTTTTATACACTACCATTTTATCAACTACAAGTGTGCAGGATATCCCAGTTTTAATTTCCCAGCTCCCGTGATTACACGATATGACCAAAAATAAGTTGAAAATTACTGCTTAATGTATGTATTAACTGAACATTTGCATTTTGTAAATTTAAGAATTTTAAATCCTTGGGTTTAACTTAATAAAACTTCTTAACTTTGATACTTGAAAAAGGTGATTGCGATCTTTAAGATTACCATAATTTCGTAAGTTATTTTCTGCTAATTTTTGTCGTAAAATCTAACTTTGGCAGCTGCAGAGCTAATTTTGAGACACAGATCCCGCCTCGTGATAAAAATGTTTGCGTAGTTACACAGAATTTCATTACATTTCCTTGTGCCAGCATGCATTCTGTTTAGTAACATACATTCAAAAATGTAAATATGTAAAGGAATTAGAGAAGTCCGCAGTTTTGGCATTCATTTCTGCCACCGACAGGTGGTTTCGGTAAATTACTAAGACTATAATAAATCAAAATTGTGCTCATTTGTTAAAATTAATAAGGATGCTATGTGCAGAACTGCGAAGCAATTGAGACTACATTTTTGCAATAATTATTATTGTTACCATAAATAAATTAATAAGCTATGTTTATAAGATCAATTAAAAAATACGCAGCGTCAAAAATCGCTTATACAGATTCAATTTCACGTTCACTGTAGAAATAGTGCCACTGAGACTTTTAATAGATTCTTTGCTGTTGACTATATGCTCAAAAATTGTATCTCGTCGACTTCTTGAAGATTTGGCGTATTGAATAACATACCCCATTTAATTTAACTTCCACTGGTCTGAAAGTATTGATTCCAAACTTTCTTATTGGTTATTTATCTTTAAATGGCGTCCTTTCAGGTTTTCTTACTTAACCATGGTTTGTTAAAACGTTTATAAGATCCCGGGAACAGGATGAGAGACTTTTATTATAACAAATAATTCATAATATTAAAAGTCGTGTGCCACCATTTTTGCTCTTTTATTTGCTAATGTGGTTCTAATTCCTAAATTACCAAATTTGTCCAAATTAAGCAGTACAATATATGATAGAAAAATTGACACATTAAGATTCGTTTCTGCTGTTGCTGCTTTGTACATTGCGATCATTTATGTCGAAACCCTTCTGATAAGTATAGTTAAATTATCATATAAAATGGCCATTTCATCTCTTTGCTTCTTCCAGAGCGACTTCGACATTCTCAAGTTCGAGTAACTAGCAAAATAAAATCTAGGAATGAATCTGATACATATCTAATTTAATGGTATAAACAAAATTCATAAAAAAAATATAATCGGAGTTTGATGACAGCAACTTGCAGTAGGTATAACAATAAAATGTAATTAGGTCAAGGAACGGACCTATTAGGGTTAGATAATGATATTTCAGAAATTTACGTAGACTTTGACAAATGTATAATAGACGTTCTAAAGGGCTTCGATAATAAAATCCGTTCACCCCAGGAAACGGAACCGAAAGTCAAACTTTCTTCAAAATACTAATTTGAAACAGTCCCAGTAAGCTATCGCGGAGAACTTTACTTACTGATGCAAAGATGTAAACAAAAATAGGATTCGTTTTAAATAACAAAGGCGATCATACAGTACAAGAACAAACAAATTAAAACTTTAAACAGCAATTTAAAAAGTAATGCAAAAAATTTCAATTGCTGCAGAAAGCTCCGCAACTACTAAACAAGCGGAAAAAATACCAAACTAAAGTCATAAACTTATGAGAAGCAACTAAAATTTGACGTCTTTTGCAATGTACTTGAATAAGACAAAAAATTCAAAACCCCAAATTGACCTGCTTGCTGTAAAAGGGCAAAACATTAATACAGACAATTTGCGGTCATTTAACTTTCAATTCTTCTTCAATTTTATTTTTGATTGGACTAGAACGTAAGAAACTGACCAGATTGTAAAAAATATCTCTGAGAAAAACAAACATTACAAAATTCATAATATTTGACTATAATTAACATAGTCATTAACAGAACAGCACTACATAAAACTGCATTATTTATAATCATTAAAATTAATTCAGGACCAAAACAAAAAATATGTAATTTTTTCCCAGATAGCGAGGTCTCAGTGCATTAACGATGTACAATAATAAGCGATCATTTTAGCACGTTAATGTTATTAATAGCAAACAATTTTATCCAATCTGAATACCTTATCTTTTACTCACTTATCAAATTTTAACTGTGTTTATGTGCCTGTTTATATGATGCTTTCACATGCTTCAAAGAGAAAATTACTAATAACTACAGTAACAAACATCTGATGTAAGTATTGAATATACAAATAATTCAAATAATAAAGGTCAGAAGCTCGTTGATATTTTGTACTCTGGCAATTAATAGAAGCTGTTGATGCAGAGATAAACCTTCAGAGAACCTCAAAAGAATTTGAAATAGCTCCTTCAGTTCAACTCAAATCCAGCTTCAAATAAGAGCACAACATAACGTATTATAGTTAAACGTATCTTTTAGGCCACAGCTTTCCATTTCATGGATGAATTGAATTATTCTGTATATAGAGGTTAGACTATTTCAACCCACATTAGTTTTATCTTCGGCGTTTATATCGGAAGCGGTCAAAAAATATTTCGATGAAGCAATAACAAAGAAAATATTACTTGTATTTATTCGTTTTTTTTTAAACACATACATTATTCGATATTTTGAACATGTTTAATTCCAGTATTTGTAAGAGTTTCTGCAATGCTAGACACACGAATTTTTAATGTAATAATAAAAATAAAAAATCTTAGAAACAGTCTATTTTTTGATTAATTGAAGGTACGTGATCTAACAACATCATGCAAGGACCTGGAAAAGTTTGTTGCGAACTGATTTAGTTATATCTGAAATTAATGCAAAAAACTATACCAAAGGTAAATATGAAAAGTACATATTTACATGTACATGTAAAATGAGTTGTTTTTGYTTYATCAACATTTTTTAAAACAAAACCTCGAACTGTTATGTCGACATCTATACTGCTTACAAAATATGTAGATTTCACCCACAAAGAAAATCACCAGCATGTCTTCTAGGTAAGAAATACAAAACTTCCATTTTCCTACCTATAGATTCAAACTTTGTTCATTTCAAAAATTTAAGGCTAGTAATTTGAAATTCGTTAATTTTCTTTTAATTTAATTATAAATGCTATTTTGAATTATGTTATTTGAAATTAGAAACGAATAAGAGAACCAGCAATAAAAAGTTTAGCTTTATCTTTATTAACTTTTGTTTCACTTTGCTTTGTTAGAATTATTGATTTTGTATTGTGGGACCTTCATTATTATTCTTGAAATCAGCCAGTTTGAAAGTTATGTCAATGTATAACGATAGAATATTTCTTATGAAATGTTGCTGAAACTCCACTATTATGTAATCAGTTGCATAAGTCAGAAAAAAATTATTATGTCTATTAATAAGTATTTCCAATTTGTCTTCCTTTGTCAAATCAATTCTCTTTGCCCAATATTAAATATRTTTTCTACTGCTTMATTGGCGCATTTTTAATCCAAATTTAACTATCAGCTTTTTAGTAGCTCTGCTTGTTTCAAAGSCTGAATTATTTAGAATAAGTGGATTATACGTTGAAGCAAGCGACTGATATCTGTTTTAACCTGTTTCCATAACTTATGCAAAGTAATAAAMCTTAGTCCATTTCCTTGCCTTYCCTTGTACTGGCAAGCCAAAATTTTGAGCAAACACTTGCTGACTTAATTTTTCATTTATTTTTTAACAGATGCCTCTCACAGACATTTTACGACGGGCTTCAACCTACATTCTTGGCTATGAAGAAGCGGCTGAAAAAATGATGAAATATGATAATAATGAGGTACTGTTTTGCAAAAATAACGTTTGTGTGCATCCACCAGCTATGGTAAGACATGAAAATGATATTCTGCATAATCCAGGTAAGTGTTACATAATTTAATTTAAAATGACTTCGCGTTTTAATAAATCAGTTTGCACTGATAAAAATATTTCTCAGAGCAATCAAACGAGGCCATTGAAAAATAAAGATGAACAGAAGCAATTGTTGCTGCCAAAACACATAGCAAATTCATGAAATATATGTTTTACAAATCTTCTGATTATTTTTAACCTATTGTTTCTTCAACTATGTAGTGCGTGCGTCTTTAAACTACATAATGGAAAGACTTTTGAGGAAAATGAGTTGCAAAATTTGCGTTTTTTATTGCAAAATCATGTTGCACTTGTTTCTGTTTTAGGAATGTTTTATGGTAGAATGTTCATTTGCAAAAGACGCAGAACCTACAGTAAAACTACTTAAAATTTATAAATTTGACTCCAACGTTATTCGAATTTTACTGCAATAAATTAATGTTTTTCAGGATATTTAACAGTCACAACGAAAATATTTGTTGATCAATATAATGACGTGAAACGACCCACATTATTCCTCACTTGGATTCCAAATACCGATTTATCAAAGTGCACGACGCCGCTTCAAAACACATTGCACAAAAAGCAAACCAGCTTGGAAAGTTTGACTTCCAACGACTCATTTAACAGTAGCACTTCAGAAAATGCGCTTCGACCTTCCAGTATTGAGCTGAAAAGTACGAATCCCTTTCTGAACTTTGATGACAAAATAGACACTTCTGAGTCGATCAGTTCGGAGGAGAGCGACAAGAATACCACGGGAATCAATATAAATGTGGACATTTCGAATCCGGAAATAGAAATTATTCAAACACCGGATAGCATCAAGGATCCGATAGATCAGTTTGAGTTTTGCAGAAGCGCCAGCGTTACATCTACAGATAGCCAATACCCTTGGATTACTACTCCGGAATATTTGATGCAGAAACACAATCTTAGTTTTCCGGATAGTGTTAATAATTCTCCAATATTGCACACAAAACGCCTACATAAATGCAGGAGATTTAGCGTGGACTTGAGCCAGATGAGATCTTTACGGTATGTTGATAGTAAATTTAAAAATGTGTTTTTCAATATCTATTGACTTTAGTATTAAAATGTTTCGGACATAGACATAGACTAGGTAATTGAGTTTATTATATTATACTTCCATTAGATATACATTTTGAATCGGCGACGGGGTTCAAAATGAAGCATTTAACATTTATATTATTCTAGAAAAAGTCTCCAAATGGAATTATGAATTTGTTAATATTATTGAAATTCGATTAAAGATATTCATTTTACGCATTATTTTTGCTGCTCTTGCTAAATCTCTAGTGAAGATAGAACCAATTCATAGTCCACAAATTGGCTTGTGTTTTCATTTAAGTTGTTTAAGTATATATTTATTCAGTACCGTACTTTAAAGTTTACTTTTTTTTGAAAGCCAAGTTCAAGAAGTCTTAGTGTTCAAGACTATTCGAGGAATTTGTTTTTACTTTACACATTTTTCAAATGTTATTGTCTTTTATTATTTGTTGTGTATATTGTGAACAAAGCGGCAATTAAAAATGGACGAAGAACAATACTCCAGAGAATATTGAGAAATGTTGAACGCTATTCTCTGAAGTTGATCAGAGTTAATCCAAAGGATATTGAGAGATGCGGAACAATATTTCCTGGCCTTTTCTTTATGTCGACTTTTTTAAAACCCCTTTGTTTCGAAGTTGTTGATTAAGCAAGCAAAAGCAATAACATTTTGTCAACAAATATTACATGGAACGAATATTGCATGTACCTATCCTATTCAATGTTTTCGAAGCAAAACAGTCGTTCAAAATTGCCACAGAACAAATAATTCGGCGGCGGATTTTGTTGTTCTTGTTTAGTCTCGGACTAAAAGCATAACAAGAACAAAAATATTAACTTTATCCAAATCAATTGCTCGTTTCACACTAAAAAAATTAATGTGTTTCAGTGTCTAACACGATATACAAAAAAAGTATAAAAAATATACAAACACTTTTCATAAAATGTGTATAATTAAATGGAATTAAAACGATTTTATATATTCTAATAGTTAACAAGGCAATAAAGCAAGGTTTTCTCTCCACTAATTATTATTTTAATGTTGAAACTAATCAGTTTTCAAGTGTTTTAAAATTATATTTTAAATGTGAAATTGAATGCGTCCATTCCATTTCAAAGTAATGGAAAGCATCAACTTATATTTTAATTCAATTGGTGATTTCATTCAAGTTTGACATTGAAAAGGCGAATTTATAATGCTAATATGTAATAGGAAACTTTGTAGAAAAACTCAAATTTTGAGGCAAGTTACTCCCACGGTTTACAAATAAAATTCTGTGAATTTTAATGTGATTAGAAATTACTGAATTTCAGGATCAAGAGAAATAATATCTCCAATATAATAGGATTGACAAAAATGACAAAATTCAAATTAAAAAACAATCAAACAAAAGAATTGTTTCAAAGGTCGAAGTTATTGAAGTAGTTTTAGAAAGCCAAAAATTATTCAAACTGTTTCATAAATATATCGTGGGCTTAAATCTAAAAGTGACCAAGTCCAAAATTGCCGTATTTGTGTTTGTTGTCCAGGTACTTAAAAAAAATAATATGTTTGTCTTCAAAAACTGACGAAGTCCCTGAGGGCCACAAAATCAAGTGCACTAAATTATGTTTTTATTGACCAAGTTTCCAAAAAGATACTGACATAAGTGTTGGCCCGGTTTAAAAGTTTATTTATCAAAAATGTATATTTTATACTTGGTCGGCTTTAGCTTTAAGCCCACGATATATTTCTTATAATGTTAGCACATTAATACAATTATTCGACTTTTTTACGTTGTTTCAGATTATTTTTTAACGACAACAGCTGCACTTGCGGACAACTAGTTGTAGCTTCCAGAGAGTCGCAATATAAAATTCTACATTTTCACCACGGTGGTTTAGATCATTTAGCTCAAGTGCTACATCAGTGGCATTCTCTACTGCATAACATTAAATCTGCCAAGGGTAAGTAGCAATTAACAATCTTAATTTCAACAACCGTCTAAAGTCTAAACTTTTGTCGGTTGATAGTTTTTTTCAAATTTTCAATTCATTTCAATCTTTGGTTATTCAGTCTTTCATTATTTTAATCAACCATTTTTTGGTTGGTCAACCGAAATTTTACTTATAAATAAATTTCTACTCACATATTAATTTCTCTATTTTGCCAATTATTTACTGTACTGCAAATACAAATGAAGAAATTTTTTCGAGTTCGAATTTTAGACGCTTTAGAAATGTGTTTTTACTCGTCTTGAAACACCAGCGGATGGCTAATTTACATAGTAAAATACAATGTTTTTTTAATATTTCAATGGCTGCTCAAGTAGGTACAATTCAAGTACAAAAACATTTTGATCATCTGATAGAGCAGTCTACTAGTAATAACTGATAATTCTATTTAGCACCAATTCCAATGCGATTTTAATGTATTATTAGAAATGTGGAAAATACACGCAATATGCTGCGTTTTCGTCCATCAACGATGAAAAGAAACCTCATTAAGTTATAACGAATTCATTTCTGGACACTCCAGCTTCAAATTAACATGTTCACAAGTTTTTAATTAATTCAATCTCATTTACATAAGAAATACAGATTTTCCAAAAGGCAAAATTCCTATTAACGCGTACATATTTTTAGGTGGAGATGAAAATCTACCCTACAGACACTTTATGGTTTGCCGGCCGGAAGTGTCTGAAATTGAACTACATCCGGAAGAAGGCCAAGTGCCGAAGCTCTCAGAGGAAGTTTTCAGGGGCCTGTTCAATGAAGCAGGCCACCTAGAAGATGATCTGACTTTGAGAAAATACGTATTCTTTTCTGGAATGGACAGAGATATTAGGAAGGAAGTGTGGCCGTTTTTGCTTCACATGTATCCTTATCATAGCACATTTGAAGAACGATTGCAAATAGCAGAAATTCGAAGACAGGTATGTATTAATTAATTTATTACAAAAAACAATATTGCAATTTATTAAGACGATCAACAAAAACATTTCCTGGACATAGAAAAAGCGATTATCAAAAAATAATCCGAAGCCAAATATTAACGTCTAAACTTTAAGAGATTGTTCATGTTCTTCGCTTAAAGCTTCGTCAAAGCATATGTGAATCTTTCGGAGCCTATCAGAAAGTGCATTAGGATCAACCAAATTTTATTTCAGATTGAGGAACAATAAATGACCAGCCATCGTCTAGCGAACAGTTTTATACTTAAACTTCTATAGACAAATCTATTTGTTTCTGGATCAGAGAATGTTTATGAACTTATAAATTCCGCGATTCACTCAATTCAGATTCTTTAAATATTAAATAAAATGCAAAAATTCACTTTGGAATTTGTAATCCAGGACACTTCACTAATATTAACTTGAAAGAAATTTTGATGCATATGCTTCACATAAAATGTATATATTATATTTTAATTAAATATTAATTTAAAATTAATCCATGTATAATGTTTTGTTTCAGGAATATGAAGAAATTACCAGGAGACGCTTAGACTTGAATGAGAACAGACTTAATCAATTCAGAAGGAAAATACAGAGTGTAGTGGAAAAAGACGTAGTTAGAACAGATAGAGGAAATCCCTTTTTTGCCGGAGACAATAATCCAAACTTAACAATAATGAAAAACATTTTGCTCAATTACGCAATTTTCAACCCTGGATTGGGGTAAGTATTAGAGAAACAATAGTTCGTTAGATGTTAAATATTCGCTTATTTGTAGATACACACAAGGCATGAGCGATTTACTTTCACCTGTATTATGCGAACTGAAAGACGAGGTGGCTGCGTTTTGGTGTTTTGTGGGATTGATGCAAAGAGCAGTATTTGTGGCTACGCCAACTGATAGAGATATGGACAGATCACTAAAGTAAACTTAACATTTTTTAGAGTTAATATGAGCTTTTTTCGTCCTTCCAAAAAAACAAATTTTACGCTTCTGATTATAAAGGTGAAGATGACTCGCCACGGAGCAAATGCATACATTATTTTATGCTAAGCTTTTATACTTATCTAATACACGGTCAAAGTGCCTGATTTTTAAATATTTTTTAGGTATTTAAGAGAACTAGTTAGACTGATGGTGCCAAAATTCTACGAACACCTTCAAAAGTACAAAGATGCTATGGAACTGCTGTTCTGCCACAGATGGATATTACTGTAAGCATTTACAAGATTGAGCTAATTGCATACTTAACTAAAAATAATATTTTCTAGATGCTTCAAAAGAGAATTTACTGAAGGAGTGGCATTGAGAATGTGGGAGGCTTGCTGGGCAAATTACTTAACCGATTATTTCCACTTATTTTTGTGTCTGGCAATTATATCCGTATACGCTGACGATGTGATAGCTCAAGATTTAAGAGCTGATGAAATGTTGCTACATTTTAGCTCGCTAGGTAAGACATTAACTTTTACTAATTGTGAGCTTTATTTTGACATAGAAGACAACGGAAGTTTTTAAACCGTGATTGCTGGCAAAACCCAGAGCTAGGACGAAAAAAAAGAATTGAAGTGAAACTCGAATTTTTACACTTATAATATAAAACTTGAAAATATCCGCGGCTTCCCAGTAGATCTTTGAACCTGGCAATGCAGTTGGGATCTATTTACTAATTACAGCTATTAGACGGAATAAATGGGAGTAGTTTTTTATAATTATGAAATGCTCACCGGGATAATTGCAGGATGCCGAATGTACCAGGAACCCATACAGTTTTTCCATTAACTGCTATTAACCAGAAAATGTTCTTTTCCGCACTGATTTACACTTTTATCACTGCACAAACACGATCACATTTTACCTTTGTCCACCGAAATCCGATTTTAATCCGACAATTGTGTTTATTCTTGTTTATATAAAACCAGTCGAACAGTAATCAAAAAAACTGGAACTATTTATTGAAGCACGGTTGTCGGTCATTTTTTAAATTAAATCTGAGCAATGTTGCAAAAAAGTTTCAAATAGGCGAATTAATTATTTAGCCAATATTTGTGTCAACATTTAATTTGCTTTAAGTGGCAACTATAGAAATTGGATAGAAAGCTACGTTTGTGTCTAGTTTGTAGTATTAAAATGTACATAAGCAATAACAATCGTTAAACACTTTACGTTTTAGAACTTGAAACTTTCAATGAGACTAGTTTCACTTCAGATCTATTTAATTTCGAAACCACCAAAGCACTTCTGTTTTGCACATTGAGTTTTCGTCATCTTAAAATGGGGTTTATTGTTGGAAATGTGTTCTATATTGATCCACATATTTCAACTGCGAATGTTTCGCTGACTTATTGCTGAATCACCAAAGTATTTAGTGCTTGAGATTGGAACGAAAAATATTAAAAATTAAACAAATTCATGAATCAGAACACAAAACCGACAGGCTAAGCCAGAACGTCTACAATTTGACGGTCAAAGATGAACGTTTAAAATTAAATAATGTGGATTGCGCACCGTGTAGGTACTGACAGACATTAGTTAATTTATGACCGAATTGGATTATTTTTACTCATTACATGTAAAAGTTTTGATCTCAATCTGCTCTGGATCTGAGAAAATATAAATTTCCTATAGTAAACCCAATCGAAATTTTAGCAAACATTTCTATAATTATTAACATTGTTCAATTACTTAATTAACATTTTTAATTTTTTTTTTCAATTCTGAAAACTCCTCGGACACTCGCATCTAAAAATATGAGTTTCTAAATGCTAGGCGTCAATAAGCTTAAAAATTCAGTTTGTTGTTTGTTTAATCCTACAAGCTAAGATCTACCAGCATTTTATTCATAATTTCTATTTTTACCTCTTTTAGTTCTTTGAGTCCATTTTACTTAAATTTCTTCGACGATTATTCAAAACACAGCGGGCTAAATTGCAACATTGTTTTTTATTTCTCTTTATGAGGACTGAAAAATGTTGTTTTCTAAATATTGCTTAATTGTTCGCTAAATGTTAGAAAGGACTGTATTAATATAATGAATATATAATTTTGGATAATCTTCAATATATATGAAAGCTCAAACAAAAAGCAACAGATAGCAACTATTTATTTAAATAATTTCCCTGAAAATAAACTTAAAAATATGGCTTTCAACCTGTTAAACGGTTTTCTCAAACGGGGTATATTTTTCTTTTACCCACCAAATTATTTAGAAATAATTTTACTTGTACATAGTTAGCTGATGGCAATTCCAGCGAAAGTTTTCACAATTTAACAGAAAATTAATTCAAAACAAACTTAATAATCTAAGGAATTTGATAATAATGAGTAATTTACATAAATATTGATTATATTATTGAACTTAATACTTTGGAACAGCAAGTAATGAATCACATGCGTGATAGTATTTTTGCCTATTTAAAATGCACCTGCTATTGACAAAAATTCCCATTGAAAAACATGCGAAAAATTCTACATAAATATAGAAAAAATTGTCCTTTAAAAAAAGATGTGAAATTTCCTTTAAAATGAAAATGGAAAAACTGATAATAATTGCACTTAAAATAGTTTGTTTAAAAATTTTCATATGGTCAGAACTATAATAACTAATCGTTGCTTGGAACTTGAAAGTATTAGTTTTACTAGATAATTCATCCTATTTGCAAGTTTTTTTAAGAAATAAGCCTAAAGTTATTAGTAAAATCCTGAAAATAATGCGAACGTATGAACAGTAACTATGTCTCCTTTTGACAGAAAAAGTCCTAAATAGTAATTTAAAAAAATGAGCCCTATTTGAAGCCTCAAACCACTAGCGGATTAATTTTTAATAGTTGATATCCGAAAAATTAAACATTCAATAACATTCAAAATATTATGCGATTATTGGCAGTCAATTTAATTTTGATAGAACAGAACCACGAAAAAAATTAATTGAATCTTAACTTGGTATGTATGTTGCTCATTCAAATTGCTTATACAGTCGCTTACAGTTCGATTATATTCAACTCGTTGCTGGGAAGAATATATTTATTTCTATAGTACCTACGTTACAACTTCTTTTACAAAAAAGGGCAAATAATGAGAATAGAGAGCAAAAAGGTTCACAAGATAAAAACGCATGTATTAACCAAATCTACTGATATTTGTAGCAATGTATATGGACGGTCAACTAATTGCGAGAAAAGCAAGAGGACTTCTTCATCAATTCAGACAAATGAGGGAGATTCCTTGCAGCGTAAATGGATTATGTACGAGATGTGGACCAGGAATCTGGGATAGTTCCCATAGTCCTAGAATCTTCTGTAGTTGCAATGGCCCATGTACAAACACTATCACTACTGGTATTTAAAAGTAAATATTTAGGTTTAAAAATATCTGCTTTTGTAGCATTTCTCAAAAAATATAGGTTTGTTAACTGTTACAGTTTATATGATGTGCATTCTACACAATCACTTTGTAGTGGTATTTCTACTAGTAACGTACTGTGAAGGCATTATTAAACAAAATTATTCGGTTCGTCTGAAAAGATATTGGTATATATTTTATGAAAAGATTAATCCTTAAAAAGTAAGTGTATTTTAAAAATATATATTTTAATAAAATTTATTAAATGTTTACTTAGCTATAGTAAATATTTAATTAATTGACGTTATAACCAGACAATAGAAATTATCTTTAAACCTTCTTGTAGAGCGAACTATAGCAATGTCACATAAATTCCCTCTGTAGGATAATTATGCTCAGAATTGCTGCAATTTCTCAGTATTGTACCGCATATTTGCATAAATTAAGACAACTCAGGAAAGCAAATAATGCAAAAATAAATCTGATTATCTCCTCTATGTATATAGACACTAGTTAGAAAATATGCTGTCTCAAACAAGAATATAATTGGAAAAATACGTTTTATTATTGTTTTATATTAGGATGCCCCGGAGTTATTTTCGTCCTGCGCTTAGATTGTTTAATTGTACACATATCAGTGGTTGTTATGCAAAAAATAAAATGTATACATAATAGCTTTGTAATATGCAATAAATAGTTTTAAATTTAATTGAAGTATTTTCGCTATTGCCATGTTAGATTAGTGCATGCAATTTTGAAGATTTAATGAAAATCTTTGAACTGACTTATGAAGTAGTTTATGAAATTTGGGAATTAAATTATACTTTATTAAATGGTTCAGGTTTGTGTTTATTTAAAAATCGAACACCTGACTTGGAGAATGGAAAAAATAAGTGCAAAAATTACTCGAGCATTCACAGTGGCTCAGAAATGTCCGCAATAACAGATAGATAAAAACTATAATTCGATAAGGGCATGTCTGCACTTGATATACACAAAATTGGCCTTAAATCATTCAATTTACTCTAAAAATACCTGCCGAGGTGTCACTAAAAATGTAACCGATACTTATAGTCGAAATACTAAAGATGTGCTTGGAATGTGAAATGTTCATCATGTTCATCAACAGATAATGTTAAAGACCTCAAAAAATATGAAAATAAGTCAAATAAAAAACCTGTTATTTCCTGCATAAAAAGTTACTTAACAACCAACTATATATTTTTCATATTTGAAGCTGCCAGAGCTCCATAATCGACAACAAAATCTTAAACGCAATACGATTTTTTTTTAATTACCGTAGACCACAAAATTTTATATTTCAACCTTAACTGATTAAATTGAACTTAATTGAATAATAATAGTGTTGACGGATTATATTGATTGCTAGAGTCTATATTATTAAATGGCAAATACGATATATAATTTTTTGAAAATGTGTAAAAACTTTTTTTTTAAGTGAAAGAGTTAATGAAATAATACTTAACAGACAACAGTAGAAATACGAACAAACTGGTTTACTGATACCCGTTTGTTATTGGTAATAGAAACGGAGCAGTTTAAAGGGAACCTAAATAAATACAACTAACTATTAAACTAAGCATGAGCGCAAGTGTATTTAGTGAGCAATAATAATAATGATATACATAAAAGTTGGTTAGATGCTCAGGTTTGGTACTTCGAAACATCAAATAACTAATCACATACGTTTTAATCACAGTAACAGAATAAAGTCTTAATTATGTGGAATTTCTTGTCTTTCAAAAAATAAGCCTCCATAAAGTGAAATAATTGGCCTATAATTCTAGATTAATACTACTTATGGAAAAAATGCAGATATACAAAAAAAATATATGCTATTTGTATGTTTAACTATACTATACATATGCAGGATGGTACAGTTGTAATGCACTTGCATATATTGTATTTTCTGAATTAAGAACGTTTCTTCTATCTAGGAAAAAAGTTACATTTTTGTAGAAAATGATACGTAAAAACGTATGTTTTTTTTTTCGTTGTTCCTTGGTGTCACTTTATTTATATAATTTAAAGATGAAACATAATCAGAATAAATACACCAAACGTTAAGAAACTAAAACTTATAAATAATGTACTTTTGTTATGAGAACCAATCCTATACCTGAGAAACTAACAAATTTATCTTACCTGGAAACGATAGAAAAACATGTTTGCTTGATATCGTCGATTTCCTTTTCATTCATTTTGTAAATAATTTTAATTAAAAATCGACCGTTTAGTGACATTTATCTCAATTTTAGTGCACTTTAAAATTAATCGAAACAATATTTTCAAAGATTACAACTGATCCACACTGTATGGCAAGAAGCGTTTACATTTAATAGCTCTTAAGATATAGGGCACCTTAAACGACTGAAAAGAATCGAGGATATTATTAGTAGCTAGTACAATATTCGAAAAAATATCTGTCTTTACCATCTCACTAGTTCAATTCAAACCTGGTTTGTTCAAATGTGTGCTTGCTTTTCATAAAAGCTTTTTTGTGCTTTATTCATACGCTAGCTAATATGGCTCTAAAAGCCTTAAATGCTACCATACTTTTTTAGGCCAACCTGAAAGCGCTTATCTGTTCATTTCTCTCCTCAAACTGTATACCAAATTAACTTATTACCCTTCTTAGCCAATGTGACGGTATATTATTGGTATAAATAATATGCAACTTTAGCAGGAACAAATGGATACACTTCATTATTCACTTGGAATTTTGGAAAATATTTACCCATTTAGTAATCGTCGTAATCGACATACGAAATATTCATCCTTTGCAGCAAAAGTTCAGCGGTTGTCTTGATCTTTTCGTCCTGAGCACCAATCAACATCACTGCACCCTGTTTCAATAGTGAAGCCAATGGTGACAATTTCTCGGATGGCAAACTGCTAAGCAGTTCCAAGCACGCTTCCATTGTCTCAATTTTAGTAGTCTTGCATGATTCAGCATCCTAAAAGTGATGAGAGGAAAAAATTCGTTATTTTCACAACGTTTTTATAAAAATTGAATTGCGGAAGCAGATGTGTAGAGCACTTGGTAGGAAATCAGAATAGGAAGGTTCTTCTTAATAAAAAGGTACATAGGAGGGCCGAAAGACTGCTGAGGTCGATAATATTTTTACTGGAAATTAAGATTTCTTGTTGTTGTCCTTAGTAACTGATAACTTAATATAATCTCTCGGATCATTAGTAATCACCATAATTTAAAAAAAATCACAATGAAAATAACAGATAATGTACAAAAGACTAAATAATGTGACAATTATATCTATTTAACCGATTGCAAATTAGACATCGATCAATAATGCTAAATGTTTTTGGCCGCTAAGGAAATCTTAAAACTCACTTCTTTCTAAAGTCCTTTACCTTAACAGGGCAAACACAAACTAAATTCTAGTTAACTTTGCTAATTTGACTATCTTACTCATATCTTCAAAAAATATCCCAAATTAAAGAATATGAGTGCTCAATTGTTTTTTCCGGAGACATTATAACTACCTATCGAACAATGGGTCTAAATAAATTATATAATAAAAATCAAAGTAGTGAACTTACCTTACAAATGCTCAATGCTCTTTGCTGCTGAATTTCGGGCGGTACAGGCTGAGGTGGAGGAATAGTAGACGGCATGAAAGGATTTAACTTTGGACTGGTGCCGACAAAAATTCTGCGATTGCCGTTAATTCTACCGTCTTCTGTCCATAACTGGCAGCTGGAAGTATTTTTTGTTTTCGCGTTAAATTATTTAAATGCACGTATTTGGCAAATAATTACCTGGAAGATTTTGTTAAGTCTCCAGGCCTGGTGCAACTCAGAATGATGTTATCGCTGGAAATCGTTGACTCTCGCATCTGCAGCAATGTATTCCTATCATACTTGATGGAATTAAGTTCAACTTTATACTTTTCATAAGCCACTTCATATCTCTTTGCAGCCAGTTCATTGGTTTCGTCGTCTGTGGAATATCCTAAATGCGAAAAATATTTATTACGCATTTTTCATCTAGCAATAACTTTAAAAAATAATTACTTGGAGAAACCAAGCCTAAAAAAGTATTATTAGTATTAAAAATTTTCATATTAAAAATACTAATCTAGAAAACACATCTACGCGCAGAATCATAAATTTCGAAAACTTTCCTTCCTTCTTCACTTTAATTGTGTTAATTAGATTAAAACACTGATAGAATCAATAAGATGAATATACAAAGTGATGCATATTTGCAACTAAAATAAAAATCAATTGGTTTTTATAAACTCGGCAGCCGATTATATTACGTAAGATGGTCAGTGATATCAATCGTCTTTTAGACGGATTAATTGAGAAAAAGATAAAGCGGAAAGATATTTGAAATTTTAATCAATTAAGCATTTGAAATAAACATTTTTTTGCAAGTTTTGCTTGCAACTGCAAAAAAATCGTCAGGGGAACGGCTTTTTCAGATGAAAAAATGTTTTATTGGCAAATCAAATTAATAGTACATTAGTCAATCTCAAATTCGTCCTTATTTAAATTTAACTTCAAGCCCAATAATGATTTTTCAGTCACAAATACTTTGTAAAATGCTTGTAGGATTTTAAAGTGCCTACTTTAGGATATTAAATTATTTGCCAATCCCAACTAAAGACAACTAACATTGCAACTTATGCGTTTTTAAATGTTGTATGCACATTATTTGTCAGAAGACGTAACCGTAGCGAAAATGTCAGAATTAGGTCGCTTTTTGTATGCGAAATTACACCACATTTAAGTTATCAATGTGAATATTACGCCAGATTTTATTCATACCATTATCCAGTTTTCCAGTTTTTTTCGACGTTTGTGGTAAGGTTGGCGAGATCGATTGCTCATCGCCTCCGCTTGGTAGACTTTCGGCTTTAGCTGTTTCTTCAATTTTATCGTCTTTTACATTGGGTAGTGCTTCCTTCTCCAAATAACTTTCCGAATCCGTACTCAAAGTGCTGATATTATCAGTTTCATATTGCTGCTTGAACTCGGCTAGTTTAAATACCTACAAAAATATTGTCTTCTCTATATTATACGTATATCTCGTTTATGGCGACGAGCAATTAATATTTATATTCGAAAAGAGTTAAAGTTAATACCAATTAAATTTAGAAAAATTGATAGACAGTGCGGCATTTTATCTATTTAATGCCAACCTGGGGTTCAGCAGCTTCATCTTTGGGTTTTTCTTTCTCCGATTCTTCGATAGTTTCTTCCGGAATGTTTATAGTGAGATTAATGTACGACTCGCACAGTCTACAAAATATCAATGATGATGTATTTTATTATTTTATACACGATATATACCAAATTATATGCCTCTAGCTCTCCACTTAGAATTGATTAAATAAACAAATATTGCAAAGGCATATGTTTATGAATATAAAGTGCCGTAAGCGTTTTTTTCTATAATGTCTGCAGTTTAGTATTGCAATGAATAGGTATGTCTTATAAATCCATTGACTTACTTGAATTGAGTTCAAATACAAATTTAGAAAAACCAGCTTTTTTAAGCGTTTCAATTTGAAGTTTTTAATAAATATCTAACAAATATCTAAAACAATATCATTGTTTCGAAAACATCAAAGGACTTTGGCTTATAATATCAAACAGACAAGTTCGAATTTTGAAACATTCTGGCTCAGTTTACTTAGAGGTTTAAATTGCTTTCTTTTCTCATCTGATTATACGTTCTCATTTTTCTTCCATAATTGGGTGATCCTGAATTGAAAAACTGAACTCATATCTACAAAATTTTGCTGTAAACAGCAGCTTTGTTATTGATTTTCAAAAGAATTCAGAACCGGTAGCAATTACTAGATACTTAAATCAAAATGTACACCAACCTTTCCCATTTACAATGCAATTTTCTTAAAAATATTTCCAAATATCCCAAGTCATCCTTTTCAGATTCCTGCTTGACATCAGTTCTGTCTTCGTCCCCAATATCATCTTCCTTAGCAAGAATTTCTTTCATATTTTTTGGCTCGATACTGTATCTTTCAATGCCATCAAGGCAACATTCAATCAAAACGATGATCTGCACAACTTCCGATGTATTGGCCTGCGTGTATAAATTTGCAGATTTGCAAAGATTTCCCACTTTCTGAGTTAGGAATTTCAATCCAGGTCGCATATCAAAATCTTTAGCTTTGATATTGGATAACTCTAAGCACTTTAGAAGCATGTGAACGTGCTTGGCTTTAACTTTTGGCAAAATACCCCTTAAGCTACAAAGAAAACGTTCTTAGGATTACATTAACGTCTTATAGAACCCCCTGTTGCTCACCTGCAGGAGTTTATCTGCAAAATATTCAATATCGGGGTAACATGTTTGAGATTCTGTAGCAAAGCGCTTGATATAGTCTGAATCAACATCTGATGGGCCAGAATTCCCACCACCAGGTTCCTAAATGGTACTCGGATGGTGTACATATCAGGATTAAGCATCAAGTTACAGTCAATTGGGTACAATAGAAACACATAACTTCTATCATCAATGGCAATGCCCTTTTCACACTCGCAAGCTCTGCCTGTGCATTTTCCGCAGTTTCTCTGAAAAGGCATTAGGAAAACTTGCTGGGCCAGCTCATACAAGCGTTCATTTTCAGTTGGGGTGCTATCTTTCCTTGCTGCCACCTTCACAGTTGCCAGGTCTCCATAAAAGCTATCAGAGTTTTCCTTGAATGCTAACGTAAGCTGATATAAAGGACAAAGGCTAACGTAGCAAGCTCTATGCAAAGCTGTGACTAAAATCGTCCATTGGCTTTCAGTTAAAAGTTTTCCAACACCCAGAATAACATGTCTCAAGCAAGACGTTCCAAGTCTAGCAACATTTTCATGCGGCTGAGCAATGCATTCTATTAAAATCAGCAGCAACTGTTTTAGCGCTAGAGTAGCTGCAGGATTTTGTTTCAATTGACTAGAATCGCCCTAAAAACCTCCTAAATTAGTTCGCTGAATTCAAGTTGAAAAATCTACTACCTGAACATGATACAAATAATCAACTACTAATTCACTGGCTAAACCACAACAGTGCTTGAAGTTCTGCCATACTTCTTGGGTCTTCTGGGATTTGGAGTTTTGGCGCAACCAATTCTGCACCATTGGAAGCAGGATGTGATTGATACAACAAAACCCAAAGTTTATACCCGGACTAATGATTACATCTCTCAACAGTTTGAAAAGACTTTCGATTACGTATGGTTGATTCTTGGGCGATGACAGGATTATAGCTGAGGACAAACCGTCTGAAAAGTAAAGAATATTTTGTTAAAGTTTTTCAGGGTTTTGGCCAAGAGTAGCTTACCAAGCAGAATATAATACACCTTCAACACTCCGCTTTGATTATCCAACTCCGTCAACCTGATTCCGCTTTTCGCACATTCATCAAAGTCTTCCTGAATGCTGAGCACTTCGTAATCAACATGATCATTATGCATATGACTGAAGCTGACGATTTCTGAGTCCTTTACCACGGGGTCGACAAGTTGAGGTTCAGTATCAATAATCATTCGATGCGAGAGATTAAACGTTGGCGACTTTGGCATTGAGTACATCATGGACAATATTTCTGAAGAGTTCTGCAGTAGCTTCAGCGATTCGAAACATAAGTCTACACAGCCTGAATTATCAAAGAACAACATTAGATTTTTTGATAAAACATATAGAGCGGAATTCAATTAATGTGAAGATGTGAAGAATGGTAAAAATAAATAAGATTTTGTAGCCAGACAAATATTACTCTTATACTTGTATTGTCCATTTTTTTCATATTATTAAACATGTGTTTTTTTAAGTTTTCATTTTTTCATGCGATGTCCAAAATCGAAATTGAATTTGCCTTGGGACTAAATAAGTTGCTACTACGTCAAACTTATATTTTGCTTCTAAATTGAAAACAGCGAATTAACGCATTGAATTTGGCGAAAAAATAAAACTAATTTATAATAAAATGCGTAGAAAAATTTCTCAGAAGTTACTAAAATAAATAAAAACGGCTTTCAATGCTTCTGGAAGAGTTGTTAAAATCACTTTAAATAATTAGCATTAGTCGTACCTATTCGACGACTTGAATGTTCCATGTAGGGCAAAGTGTAACGGAATATAAATTCCCATAAAAACAATTAAAAAATGGATACTTCAAAGCAACTTTTTAAAGTACATTCGAATTAAAGGTGAATGATGTTTAAAGGTGAATGATCATTTTTTATCCAGCTTTTTTTGCCGCTTTCTAGCGCCAGGTTAACAGAAATTAAGTAAGGGGAAAGAAAAGAAACTACTTCTTCTTTATACTGTCCATATGAATTAATGACATTATGTTCATGTTTTTATAAAATTGTTAGTTTATACATATAGAAAATTTCTAAAAATATGTAGACACTCTGTTATAATAATTCGTGTAGCTTTATTAGTGAGCCACAGAATGTTAATGTTTCTAATTTGTTTCTTGGTTTTTGGTCCATAGTCTCGTTAGTCTATGGACAAATCAACAACAAAAATAGTGGAGTTTTTATATAAATTTACAGTTTTTTTTTCGTAGCCTCTAAATATTATCGGATAACACCCCCAGAAAATCGATCAATTTATAATCTCTCTAAAGTAGGGTAAAGCAAAATTTGTTGAGCTCATACGTCCTGTTGGCGGATATTTTCAACATTTTCTTTAATAATTAAATTTGTTTAAAATAATAAAATTTGAATAGATTTTATTTGAAAATTTAACAATGTTTGGAGCTCATTTTGCATTTGCATGCAGCAGAGAAACCGAATCTACGCTAATTAGTCACATAATAAACCTATATGCTCAAAAGTTCAAAGTAAACAGCGTTTCGCGCAAAAAACGAATTGGTTGCTTATTTGTCTACTTGTCTATTTGTGAACTTGAAGAAGAAAAAGCGAAATTTTTACTAAAAGCGCAGTTTGAGAAATTTATTCAAGGAGGCCGCAAAAGCGTCCATAAAATTTTTCTGATGGTTAAAGACTCTAATTACAAACCAAAACTTCAAAATTTTAATTGGTTAAAAAATGAGTTATTAATCGCACAAATAACGCGCTTTAAAACAAATTAAACCAGCGAAGTTTGCAAACAATAATTACGGCATCAACCGCAACTTTTTGAGACATTTTTTCTAAATATCTGAGAATCCACTTTCCGAATTGGGTTTCTAATTCTTGTCATGTCTGATCCAATCTTGCAATTTAAAAAAACTGCGAAAATTGTTATACTTTTCTTGAAATTTAGACTTTTTGTAAGAACTGCGGACATTTCCCAAGCTATATTTCGCATCGTAAACGCACCATTTATTGTTCTATCCTGTGGTATTTCTACACATTCTGCGCTCAATCTAAAATGGTGGTAAAATTAGGATAACACCCCCAGAAAATCGATCAATTTATAATCTCCCTAAAGTAGTGTGAAGCAACTTTTTTTTGAGCTGAAACATACCTAAAATTTACCTAAGTGTGTCGCAGGATACCCTCTAGGTGATAGTTCTTGATTACTTTTGGATAAATAATGCGTTTTTACTGCTAAATAGGAGCACTATTCATCAATCTGTAATATAAGACGTGAGGAAATTCTGTCTTTTTTAAAGACAAAAATTTTGAGGCGAAATACCCAACAAGAAGTTTGTAAAAAAATGAATCCGCCTCAATAATATAGAACTTATTTAAAATGGTGGTGTAAAACATTAAATGTTGGCCTAATTTTGCAACTAAATGTGTGTTCAAAATGCGCTATGTGTGTGAAATTTCGTTTTCCAATATAAAATACTTATTATTTCCTCACCCACGTTCCACCATCTGGATCTGGTTTCTTATTCTCTATCTAATAGTAAGAAAACAGAAAGTTGAGACAAATAGACTTAGGTGTTAATAAAACACTGAACTTTAGCAACCTTAAGTGTTAGTGGGTTTTTCAAAGCCATTAGTAAAATTTTTAGTTCCCAAGACTTCTAGTCGATTTAAAATAATGAAGAAGAGTTGTACTCGAACCGTTACACTTCAGACAGACAAAACCATGATACTCGAACGACAAACAGTTATCTAGTAAATATTCCAAAAAGTTTGCAAAAAATACATTTAGTTTTTCAGGCTTGTATATCTCGTAGCCCAAATGCAACTTCTTGTGCTATTTTTCAAAACGATCTAAATTACTAAAGGATTAAATTGATGAATCATTTACCCAAGGAAATTATTAAAAACATACACATTGTATTTTGTTCAAATTCGATCAAATCATTTCTATAAGCAATATACTCAGTCGTTCCATTAAAAATGCGCTTTCAACTGTTGCCCTTTACAGCAAATCAGTAGAAATCCGGAAGCGTTTCATTTTCATGTTTGAATAAGTTTTTACCTTCTGACAATTTATCAGAACTTTTGCTCACTTTTCACTTGATTTGTCATAATCTGAGAATTGGCACACCCAGTAAAAAGGACTGCCATAATTTTACTTTACTTCTCGGCTTACCTATCAATAGCTTTGAAGGAAACTCAACATCCTTCTCAAAGAATCCCACAGGTTTTTTACTCAATGTGCTCGGAGTGGCTGGTAGTGAGTTATCCCCAGTTCCATCATCATCTGCATTCTTTATATGAGACAGTAAGCACAGAATATAATCTAAAGCTGCATTTGCAAACACCAAAGTGTTGTCGGTGGATAAGAAAATTCTGAAGACATCCGAAACAGCAGCAGAGTTATTCTTGGCGTTTGCAACTCGAAGTGTTCCGAATAGGGGCCTCCAACCTGAACAAATTTCTGTTCTGTTGGCTTCAACAAACTCGCACAGACACGCGACAATTTGGTCCTGAAAAATGAATAATAATTCTGATGCGCCAGTCGTCAGCTAATTTGCAAGATATTACGAATTTTAATTTAAAAATATTTTAAATGTTTTTTACAATTATTGTTGCAAATATTTTTTAGTATCAAAATACACTTGTTCCTTTTGCTGTTGGTTTCTATACTTTAGTAGAGGTTATCAAAACGGTCCCTCTAGTTGTCCAACATGACCATTTTGCCATTCTTTGAAAGCCGAGTAAGATTTGAAGCTGTATTTCTATATACGAAATTTATGAACATGTTCTTGTTAACGTGTCTCTCAACACGCTGAATTCGGAGAACAGCGCGTCGTTACATTTAAAATGGAATAGTTGAAACAACAATTGGAATAGTTTCCGTTCGACTCTGTTAAAACACCGATCCCTCGATGTTTAAGACTTATTTTTGCTTGAAAAAGTCTCAAAATGAAGATAACGTGTTATAAACTTTTAGCTTTAAAGTGTAGGTATAACCCAAATGCAACATGTTCTTCTACTAGTTCCCAAAGATACAAATATTTTAGTTTGGAAACAACAATTAGTCGATTTCCAGACTACGATATGCGGTGGAAGTAATCAAATTAACAACGCAAACGTGACCCAATACATATTTTTTTTTCTTTTATAGACTTTTTTCGAGTATTATATTTTTCATCCAACGTACACTTTATAGCTTCCATTCGTACAATCCCCGACCGCATAAATTAATTTGCTACACATAAACCACCGTACGAAAAATAAATATGACGAAATCAAGTTGATATAATTCTATCCCGGATTACCTACATGTGGAACATTGAATAAATATGTAAAAACAAATTTAAGGATTTATTAAATTTGTTGTTATTATGCGATTCAAAAATGAAAAATACACCTATAACAGATTATAAACTGAACATTTCTATAAGCAGTTTTACCTGAACATCCAGGTCACATAACTCCAAGCACAACAGGTTCTCGAATGGTTTTATGAGGGCTTCATTGAAATGAAAATGCGGAAGTTCAGCCTGTTCATTCAATAAGGCTGTAACTGAGTCATGAATGCAAGTTACGGCTTTTTTCGAAACCATTCTGTCCTTGTGACACGCCGCTTGCATAAAATGAGGCCCCACTGAAAACAATAATATCAACAGTAACAACTGCAAACTCTAGTAAAAAAATGTGGCTGAAATACCAATAGACCAGACTTTCATAATGTGAATTAGAGGTCGTCCAGATTTGATGCATTTTAATGTAACTTCTCCAATGCGATGCAGCAATAGTGTGGGTGGAGGTTTCTGCTGAATTTCCAACTCTTTCTTCCACCATTTCTTCGGTACACTGGAGGATTCCTCGTATTTCGTAAACAGCTGAAAGTATTAAAACAGTATTTTCCATTCGTAAGCCCATTCAGATGAAGTCTAATGCATTAAACTATTAGAGTCTGAAACACACCTGGGCATGTGAAGCTTTGCACAGCTCGGTCATAAAGCTGCACAATCCAGGCAAAGACAGCCTAAGAGCCGCAGCATGGAACAACTCGTCAGCTTTTTGGGATAAAGCGCAACATATTTTTGCAGCATATACTCCACGTAAAATGCCTTGGCCTTGTGTATTATTCGCTCCACTTTTTTCTACAATATCAGCGATTGTTGTTTCATTAGATCCGCTCTGGTCAGATGCGTAAGAGCTATGCAAGAAGCTGTACACATCAACACTAAAAATATGTCAAAAATATTATCACTTGCTGAAGGAATTTTATCCCCAAAGTATGAATATACCAAATAAAATTACAAGAGAAGATTGTAAACTTGACCAAGACAATTTAGATGCATTTTCAGCTTCCTCAGAAAAATGTATATTGTTTTAATACCACCACCACATAAACTGAATAGTTGAATATGTTCTGAACCTATAAATACATACAACTGAGAGCTACTTCAATAAAAATTGGCAATTACACTGTTTGTTAAAAATACTTACCATGTTTCCTCATCTGTCGTGTTTAAATTGAGCGAATCTTGATTGCCTGATTTGGTCGTTGACGTTATGATGTTGTTCTGAGTATTCTGAGCTACCATTAGAAGTTGAGCTGAACCAGTTTTGCTAAAAAGCGAATGCTCTATACCAGCTACAGCTACACACGCACTGAAAACGTGAGGCCAACAAGCTGCACTATAACAACCCAATTCCAGTCCTGTAGAAAAATGAATAAATAAACCCTTAAGAAGAAACGTAGATAGACGTTTGTACAATGGGAATATCTTGATTCTAGATCAAACTTTTTACTTTAGCTAACACTTAATTTTTATTTCTTTTGACTAATTTTTGAACTGATTTATCTAAAAGATGAAATGCGAAATCATGATAAATCAATAGACAAACTAATAATGAATAAGCATTCTGCTGTAATTTTTAACTAAGTCTGATGAACGATTTTTATAAAGTCAGCCGATTTGAATTTTATGTGTACTTATAGTTAAATAAGTTTTTCTCTAAAATAACTTTTGTTTCTAAATAAATTTATTTAAAGCGGAATAACTACAAAGAGAAATCAAGAGGAAATATGAGACACTGAATGAATAAATTTACGAATTAAGAATAAACATAGATAATAATACATAGTAGTATCTGGGAATTAAGAGAAATGAACTTTAGTCAAATACTTATTCCTAGATATCGTTTTAAGAAAGTGATTAAAAGCGATTTGAGCAGAGGTGTATTCACGACTAAAATCCGGCATAAATTAAAACTAAATTTAATATAATGCTTATTTCATCGTTCTTACCTTTGGAGAGCAAAACATCCAGTGATAGGGCATGGGACGCTAACAACTTGGTCGATTGATTTTTGCAAGAAGATGCCGAAAGTAATGCTAAAATGCTACTGCTTCTTGTTTGCAGCTTCAGAATGTTACTCAAACTCGCCGCCTAAAATAACCATTGTTAGCTGTAGGACTCAAGTTTCCAGCAAATCCGTTTCAATTAGAAATATTGAAGCCAAAGATTAAGCCAAAGTATGACTTATTTTAATTTTGGGAGGAAATAAACAGCACCACAATATACTGTTGAAAATAATCCGGAAAGCTTCTGTAAATGAGGTTTTTTTCGAAGTATTAAAGATTTTTTTAGTTTTTCAATTTTTTTTTTAATTTTAGCAGATATCAAAACGGGTTTTGCTTTGGGGAAATGCTCGAACACCTCTGTCTTTATTAAAACAGCGATTGTTTAAAACACACGCAGAAATCAAATAGTTCTATTTTATCTAATATTTAAAAATCATCTTGAGTAAAAATAGTTCTTCTCAAGAAACATCTAATTATAATAATGCCATTATAACAAAAAACAGTTGTTTCATTAACAAATTTTTCAAATATTAAATAAAACTAAAAATAAAAACAGGCAATGAATGAAGCAGAAAAATGTCTGTATGATGTACAGGATTGCAGAAATTAATTTCTAAATTATATGCAGCTGGGAGGACAGCTGCATTAACGAAGTTTCTTTGCAAGAAAATTAATCCATTTTTTAACCCAGTTCGTACATCATCAAGCAAAAAATTACCTATAAAGGTTTTTTTTGTCAAAATGCAATATTGGCAAAAGCAGAGAAAATGCAACAACTTATTGAGAATTGATAAATAAGTTAATTCACATTCACACTATTTGGTCAATAATTCTTGTCATTATAATTCATAGTTTATATTGCTCCATTTAATACCCTCAGTTTCGCGTAGCACAAAGAATGCGTGCATCGAACAGAATAATTTAGGAAAATTAAATGTCCTGATTAAAAAATTACGACTAAACTAAGTAAAAAATTGGTAATTATTTCGGCTGAAGTAAGTATTGAAAAATCTTCAACTGGTGCATGTTAGCAAACGATCCTTTGTCCCCCAATGAAAGCAGAATTGGAAAATATTGCTCACCGTCTTTCTATCTGGAAAGTACCGAAAGCTAAATATAAGATTTATTTTCTGGGGTAATCCAACGGTTTCCCTTTTTTAAATAAAAAACTGGGTATAGTGTTTACCCAAATCTAAATTAAAGTTTCAAAAAGTTTCAGTGCAATTAAACTATAAGACCACAAAATTCAAAAATTTTCGGAAAGCTGATAATGCGATTACAAAATTACTACTTTCAAACGCCAACTACTACGATCAAAAGCTAAATATAAGATTTATTTTCTGGGATAATCGAACGGTTTCCATTTTTTTAAATCAAAAACTATGCAATTCACCGACAAACTAAAGAATCAAATTGCAAATATAGCGTTAATTTTCTTGGTCAATTCATAGGTTTTCAGTTTTTTAATCGAAAACTGTGCATTTTCTGAAAATACTGAAAATCGGCACTTTGCAGATACATTACCATATCGCAGCATAATACCTTATGTAAGCCTTCCAAGCTAGCAGTGATGATGTCGTCTTTGATTTTTTGCCTATATTTCTGACGCGCCCTACGAGCTACCAGTCTGCTCAGCGCAGAAGTCCCACTCAGATGAGTTTTTTCTCTCAACGGAGTACCCAGAACACTAACTACTGAAGACCAGCAGCACGTTAAAACTCTCCTGGATAACTTTATGCCTGCTTCCACTTCCGGACTAGATTCCGGAGTTCCTTGGACTTTCTGGAGCTTTTGCCAGTCAGTCAGAAGTTGCGAAGGGGACAATCCGCCAACATCTTCAAAAGGGATTTCTATGTTCTCGACGGACTGGTATCAAAAAAATTACCTGTTAGTAAGTTCACTAGTGCTGGCTGCTGGCGATTTTTGGGCTCATACCCAGCAGATAGAAGCAAGGACTTGGCAAGCACATTCTGGTAAAGCTCACAGAGCCAGGTGGCAGACACGTAAACCAAAACTCCGCTTCCATGAATTTCTTCCACAAATTGAACTTCTGTGGTGGGGACAGCTACCTACCAGTAAGATGCAGGTTATCTTTTGCCAGAAAAAAAGTCAAAAAATCTTACTTCTTTTTTAATTTCGTCGTAGTGGCCTGCTTGGATCAGCTTTAAATCAAGCAAAAGGGCGGAATAAGTAGCCAAATACACCCCATCCGCGTTCATAATTGTGGATATTTCATAACTTTGCGCTGAGTTGTGTTGGCAACATTTTGAGGCAAATTCTTGCAAAACTTCGTCAACCTGAAAAATATTTATAACAGAATAAACTCAGCTAAAAAACCACAACAAGCACCTGAATCGACGACCTCAGTGTCAGTAAATTGGGCAATAAAATTTGTTGCAGTGTTTTCACAAAATGCCTGGCATTGTGCCTCTCAATGTCCGTGTTGCATTCATCCAAGCCAGTGCGACCCTATAATCCAAAAAGAATTTCCATTGTTAAACGTTTTTTATGTCCAGCCACAGTATTGTACTCACTAAATTTAAAGACTTTGGCAACTTGTAAAGCTTCTGTAATTGTTGATTGGTCAGGAAACTTTCATCATCCATAATGCTATCATCCGAATGGACAATTTCCTCTTCTGGGCCTTCAGTTGCTCCAGAACAGTCTGATTCCTCTCCTTCCACGTCGCGAATATTTCCTTCAATCCCACTGCTATCCGACGAATCACTTTGATAACGCAAATTTGCCACCACATCCCTATAATCCACCAAACCCGTGTGGCTAAATATAGCTTACGCACCTGGTTTATGCTCACCTGTAAGGCTTAGGCAACCTAGCTAAAGACTGATAAGTTAGAGGGCCTGTATAATCAGCATGTTCCAATAGAGCATATCGAGAATTGGCTAGATCTGCAGCCTCCTGATTTAGACCCTCACCACGGCATAGAGCCTCTAATGACCCCAACAGAGCTCCAACACATTCAACGCTGGCTAACACCACGCCATGCTCATTGCATTGAGACGATTCCTCAATTGAGTCCATTATTCTGCAAACATTTTCCGTGTTGGGGTGAAAAACTGACAACATTTGGCAAGGAAGCTAACAAGTTGTTAAATTGGAACAATCAACAAGAAAAATCGTTTAAAGTATTTATTTTTGATCTTATTGAAAAATAGAGATGAATCTAATACATCGCTCACAACAAGAATCTTCACGTTGAATAAAAAGAGAAGAACACAAATAGGAGATTACTTTATCTCTGAAATTCATGTTTGATAAAGTTTCATTCATTTTGCTTCCCATTATGCCAGCATTTTGAATCCCAAAATGTTAAATTCGTCGACTCTAATTAGATTCGCAGAATTATAGAAAAGTGCGTTTTTATTTCAGGTTTCTTCCAAAGATCCATTAATTACCAATCTAATAAACAAAAAACAAGAGCCAGAAAAGTAAGCATGAGAACTTTTATAACCGTAATTTAATTTGATTGATTTGCGTCGGTTTAGGCTTAACAAGAAAACACACAACACTGATTGTTAAATCATTTACCGTTTACCTCGTTTAGAGGTCCCTTTAGAGATTAATAATTTAGAAAACTGAACATTTCAAACAACAGTTTGCATAAATCATGCATCAGTATCGACAAGAATATCAAGAAATCAGCACCAATAAAAACCTCCTGTTAGAGCTACTCACAGTCTTATGATCGCCATGTCATCTCCTGCATGTCTGTGTATGGGTCCACTCAGTAGCAGCAAATCAGCCAATCTTCCAGGAGACCTAAGAAGTTCTCTTGCGGCCTTTAAAGGCTCAAGACGTTTCGCGGGGCTTGGTAGGAGCAGCATTCTGTGGAAAAGAGCTTCAAGAACGGGCCTTAACGGCCTTTCTCTTCCCACTAATCGAACCACTTGAATGCCAATGCTAATAAAAAGAATTTGAAAAAATTACGCTTCGTTTTATTGTTGTTAAGTGAATTATTTGCCTGTAAACTATTTTGGCCTGGTTGTTGGTCAATCCTTGTCCACTTGGATCGCCTGGAGACCCCAATAAAGCCAGCAAGGCCGGGCAGAATCTTTGCCATAGAAAGGTGGTGAAATGTATATTGGAATGAACTGTATGTGGAAGCGTGTTTACTAAAGTGAGCAAACACTCTAAAAGAAAAATTGTCGAGTCCACCGATTTTGGTAATCTGGAATAAATTATTTGTGGCAGTTCAGTCTAAATAGGTAGGATTCGCTGGAAAGTAAACTTCCTCCAAAATAAATACTTACAATTTATTTTCCTCCAATTTGCTGCAAATATATTGCATCACGGGAATGGCTTCATTGAAGCAAGCCACTGCTGAAGTCTTATTGTATACCATTTCAGCGCTGCTGCCCGAATTTTTGTGCTTTTGTTGCTGTTGCAGTATTTCTTGACACTCTTCATCTATGTAATAAATGCATGGAAAATACGTATAAAAGTGATAAATACAGTCATTCTGCTATTAGGGTGTTAAAAGTAAAGTAGTAAAGATACCAGCTAATGAACAAAAAGAACAAATTTAATTTCAAAAAAGTTTCAGTCACATTAAACTATAAGATCACAAAATGAAAATTTTTTCGCAAAGCTGATACTGCGATTACAAAATTACTACTTTCAATTTCTCTTTTAAATAGATATAAAAGCTACATATTTAATTATCTTTGTGTTACCAAAGTTCTGAAGTTTCCGTGTCCCTGAATAATTCGAAAGGAAATCGCAGTAGATCTAAACTTGATTAGAAAATTTTTATTATGCTTAAATCGATAAATTACAAATAGTTTAAATCACTTTCCAAACAATTGTCAATAAAGACAAATTTTCTAATATAATAAATTAATCAAAATATGTGTACCCGTACCGTACTTTAACAACGAAGCATTTGTTCGTAATTTCCGTTTCTAAAGAACGATGTATGATTAATTACAATTTCGGTTTCAGCAAAATTCAGTTTGAATTATTCTAAAACGCGTTTAAAAAGCATTTACATTTCATTTTAATTGAAATGTTTTATTTCCACTTCTTATTCAACTAATTCAGCATTAAGGGAAATTAAAAAAGGAAAATTTGCGAAAGAAACGGCGCGAAATAAAATGACTGAAAGAAAATCAGTTCCGTCAAATCAGAAAAAAGTTCAAAGAGTGTTTAACAAATCACTTTTTTTTTGTTGTGCTAATTCAATTGCAGCATATAAAATCAATACATTCTAAAAGAAACCCAGATATTGTTAATTCCGCCTAATCTTAGGTATACGTTGGTTATTCTTAGGTATAATGCGGACAAAGTTCTATTCAAGTTATAGAATTGAACAGCATGAAGAAATGCGAAGAGCGACTAACCAATTGTGCAGGCACAAACAATCAGATTTTAAATATGGTTGCTTTCAAGTCTTCCAGGCAAAAAACTTCCTTTCCATCAGAATCCACATGAAGGTAGCAGGTATATAAAATATCCTATCACGATTGTGAATTAATAACAGATCATTCTTCAAAAAAAAGTGTCTCGATTGGTTCCAAATACAATTTCAAAAAACAGAATCACAATTGAAAAATTGTGGTGGTTTTGGCCAGGTGAACAAGATTGTGAGATAAAAAGACTCATTTCAACATCAACAAGACCAAATTATTGAACTTGAAAAACTGCTTCCTGGCATACCAGAAGAAAATAAAATAAAACTGTGTAAATAGATACTTTGTCCATAGTGATAAAGATAAAGAATCATCATCAACATCGACAACAATATTTCCTTCTTCTATTGAATCAACTATAATCAATCACATTGTTTTTTCCTGCAATACTCACTTGACCCGATAATCAAGGAGCTCAGTATCCTTACCCAAAAAAGTGCAGAAAGCAGTCAAAGTCTGGCTGGCTGCAGCTTGAGCTGCAGCTCTAACTGGCTGTGTACCCAGCTCGTAAGCATCGCCGCAGCGACTCAGCAACAGCATCACTAAGCGTCCATTCAAAGCCCAACTGGCTGTACAGGCCAGGTTCAGAACAACCCTTAGAATGTGCACCTAAAAATGTTTCTCAATTGCAAAAAAGACACTTTTTCAAGGTCGTTGCGTACCTGGGTATCCTCGCAATGTGCTAGCATTGACGACGTAGCCAGAAGTAGCTGAGCAGGAAGCCATAATGAGTCATCCTCAGGTTCTGTACCCGATTGAAATCTTTCATCGCGTATAATTTTCTAAAAACGTCGGTTTTTAAGTCCAAATGTACAGTATTTCCTCCTGCTACTACATACATTCAACCCGGTCAAAGCTAAAGACACCAGCTTGCTTCGCTTACTTTCCAGAGCAAGCTTCAGAGGTATGAAGCAGACAGATCGCAACTCGAAAGAAGGATTTCTTAAGAGGTTGTTTTGCGACGCCAATAAATCTACAATGAGACCAAAATTCTGAATAGTGATGCATGAGGTGAGAATAAATAACTCACCGTGTGCCTCCTGGGCCTTTTGCTTCAGATGGCATAGTTTGGAACCGTTTGCTTCTTTAACAATATTCAAAAGCAAGTCTTCCATTTTGATTGAAATTCGTTTACTTATGATATACACGACGATTCACCGCATCAATGGAAAACATTATGCAGACTGGCGTTGGGAAAGGAAAATCCACTTTCCACTTGTATCCTGTTGTTCCATACCGGAGCTTTAGGAGAAGTTGAGCAACTTCGTAAATAAATTAAAAGATTGATGCGAAGCATCCATACGAACAGTGAATTGTTGGAAATTGCTGACTATCTATATTATTTCTTAGCTCGATAAATTTGCCAGAAACGAGTAACTAACGACTAAGAAGGGGGATACTATGGAAAATTGGTGCAATTTTTCAAATTTCCCTTGTACAAAACTAGGAAACCTCTGTTGGAGCATCAGGATTTAACAGAGTTTCACCCACAAACTGCGCAGTTCATGCAGGGTAAAATGGGAAAATCGATGCAACGAGCCACAATAAACAGCGCAACAAGTGGTTGAAAGGATTATGAAAAAAATATTTCCGCTTATATACAAACAGCTGCAGCACTGATTAGATAATCAATCATCAATCATGTTGATTCATTTATTAAATTAAGTATAAAAAATAGTGAAAATCCTAGAATGTTTAACGTTTTTGGGTCGCATGTGGATTTTTACTAGCGCCGCATTTCAAATCTAAATATAACTTGGAGAAGTCTCCTAAGAAAAACCGATTATTTTTCTGATTTTTTTTTGAGTTAATGTTTAAATATTTAAAAGATACGCTCTTGGTCGATTAAAAAATTCAGTTTCTAGTAATGCAAGTCCACCATAGAAATCCCAAAAGATATATAAGTTCCAAACATTTCCGGAAAGATGATGGGTAGCCAAATCATCCAAAAATGAGCAGACATCAATGGCTTTCTTTTCTGCAATGTATTCAGAATAGGAATAAAAAACCGAATCGTTATCGAGAAATCAATGAATAATACATGGAGAAAAGTATAGCTGACGTTCGTCGTAAACATTATTTGTTGAGAAATTAAGTAACGACAATTTTTTTTGGAAATTCAGGACGATTCCGTCTGCATCCTGCACTTGTTCGTCTGCTTCTTTTTCGCTGATCTTGCTTTCTGCAGTATAAACACTCGCTTTTTTTATGAGTTGTCTTTTGCACTGAAAGAATTTTGCGATTCATTTCAACCATATTTGCATTTTGTGTAAGTTTTAAATTAGAAGACTTGATTTTGGCGGTAAATTGGATGCAAATTCTGCAGGTATATGGGGGCGTGTAACCAAAGCTGATATTAAATTCGGTTAAAATAGTGCGATATATTTACAGGATACTCGGTTATTTGGATGCGTTGATTTGTGACTTTTAAGCATTTTTTTCTCAGCTAAAATTTTATTTTAAATCATCAAATTCATATGAACCAACTTTATAAGGAAAGAAACACATTTTTCATTTCTTGTTTTAGTTTACAGTGATTTGACGAGTAAGTAATTTCTATCTTTGGGGGCTTCTTTCGTTCTTCTTTCGACTGTTATTCCGTGCCTTGAGCAAAACCTTTTAAACATACTAGAACATCGATGACACCAGATACTTTATACACTTTTATTTTACAACAGAAAGAAGCCTGTCGGAAATTACCATTATTTTCTTCAGGGCGACTATTTTGTCACCTAGCTTATAAGGATTTTGATACGTTCGTTGGAATGAATCTTATCGAAACATTTCACTCCGGTACACTTGCAGGACCTGGAATTTACATAAGTACTTCTGAAATACGATACTTCTGCTTAAATGTATAAATAAAAAAAATTATTTGATGTAAATAACTTTGTTTCTATTATTTATTAATGTGTCGATTTTGTAACCAACAAAGAAGATGAAAATCGGAATGCTAATATCCCAAGCATATTAAACCTACGGACAGGTCATTTAGAAAAAGTTAGATTCGGCGGACATTCGGAACATTTTTAGTGTAATTGGAGGGATCTACTCCTGAATCTACATCGCTTTTAACTAAAAAATAGCGTCTATAAACTTGTATCTCAATAGTTAACAAATCATTTTAAATTTGCAGCTCATGTACCTGGCCAAATGACCGAATTTTTCAATAAGCTTTATTATTTAACTGCTAAATTTTGAAAAAATAACGCTTAAAGCTCGCCGTTTCAATGATAATTTAGTGTCTCTTAATGTTTGCTTAAGAGTTCTGAGCTGTAACTTGCAATATTAACATTTTTACTTGCAGGATAGTGCAATTAAGACGAGCGGGAAGATTATGGCCAACTGCTGTCGAATTTTCTTTTCATACTTTCGGAAACACCCCAAGGTGGCGCAAAGTGATTAACATACAGTAAATGGTTAGTGCAAAATTTGTCAAATACAAACCTGCGTACTGTAAGATTATTTCTGAAATTAATGGCCAAAAGGGTACCAAATATTACAAAAATCAGAATATTCCTCACTGTTCATCCAAACTATCAGAAAGGATATTGGTACAAAAAACCATCCATGCACAAGGCTTAAGTGGACTCACAGACTACTCACTATTGGAGTGGACTAAAACTTCAGCGAAAACATTGAAACTAGCAGTAAAAATCATAAAATTTCACATCATTCTCATCAATCGCCCGCTGATAGGCTCTGGCTAAACAAGGTATTGAGGAACAGCAGCTCATTAAATACACAAATTTAAAAATAAAATTAACATAATGGAAAGCCTCAGAACAATGGATACAATATCGTCTTCAGCCGCCTCTCGCTATAATCGCTTCAAGACAGCCAAACTCTAAATGAGGCTTGGTTAGAAAAGAATGGACCAGTAACTTTGAACTACACATTACTTCACTAATAACTTCACATTTATATAAATTAAAAATAAGAAAATATTTTAGTTTCTTGAATATAGCATATGATTTGTTCGATTCATTCGATCTTTCAATGTTTCTTGTTAATTGCGTGCGACCACTCAAATATTCCTCAAACCAATTCAGAATCACTCGCCCGAACCCCTATTTCTTCAATTTAAGAAGTAGCTTCTATTAATAGTCTTGAAAGCACGTTGAAAGTCTAGGAAAACTACAAATACTATTTTTTCTCACACGAGTTTCTGCTTTGGAAGCCCGGTTGATAGTTAATAACCCATTTTCTTCGATATACTTAAGCTATATTATTTGGTGACATTTCCAGCTTATTTTCATAGGCAGGAACAATATTGATCTGATCACATTTTATTGTCTTTTTTTTCTATTGGAATCACTATGGTTTTTTTTTCACTACTCTGGAAATTTTCCTTTTTCTAAGCTATGGTTGATGATATTTAGATTTAACAAAAATATCAGACAATTTTGTGCACTGGTTTCTACTGTTCTAATCACTTGTGCGCTACACGTGATATTCCGAATTTATCGAAACACTACACTCCGGAAGAAAATCCAAACAAATGCGTCAATTTTATTGATTAATTTGAAAGTTTGCTTTTTATGCAATTTATTTCCACATTAATAGAAACACTAGATTCTAGTTGTAACCGAACCTTGACTTATGACTCGTATATATTAATGTCTTTAGGTTGACTTATATTGCCTAGAGACTATCTGAGACGCAATTGTTGACTTCTGACCAAACAACCAAGTAAATTATCATTTCTGCTGTGGCTTCTTTTATAGTTAAATCATGCTGATCATAGAAACGATACTACGTCTTATTTTAACAGGACACCTGGACTTTAGACTTAACTTTAGACTTTAACAGGACACCTGGACTTTCCACACAGGACTATAGATTGTACCGGTGTCCCGGCGCTGTACCTTTGTCTGCATTTCTTTTGCTGATTCAAATTTCAAATTTTTGACTTCACTTTTCTATTCACCCTAAAATGTGAAAATGTCACAGGCTGTAGATGTGAAAAAATTGCGAACAAATGTACTCAAATTCAAGCTTATTTTTAAGCTGGATCTATAAACTCTGCAGTTGGTCCGTTCATTCATGCAGTTGACATACCGTTGCCGTTGTTCGCATTTGATAATTTATATTGTGCAGTTTGCAGCTGCCGACGTTGGAACTTGATTAGTCAGATTGACAGATTGTAACTATGGTGTGTTGGTTATGTTGCGTATTGTCTTGATACAATGAATACAATTTGTATTCACTATATCATGGCGTGTTGTCATCCTGTTTCTTCGGGGCATTTTTGTAGTTCATGTGCCGGAAATTGTACAAGTACTCATAATTCTGAATTAGTTCTATTAGCGAGTGGCTAACATCAGATTCTTCAACGAAAATTGGTTCTTCTGCCATCTTTCCAAAAACATAAACCTTCCTAAATCAATCCCTTCAATTCCTACCTACCTAAAGGCTCAACGGCTTAGATGCGCAAGACACGTGCGTAAGCAACCCGAAGATAGGTTAATACGACTGGTATGGCAGGAAGCCCCAGAGGGTAAAAGACCAGTTGGAAGACTCAGATTAATATAGCGAGACAACATCGCTGTTGATCTGAGAAAATTGGGCGTCGAAAATGGTACCATAAAACAAAGCTTATATGATGACCGACCGAGTTGGATGGAGGCAAGTCGTCGCGTCAGCCAAAACCCATCAGGGGCTGTAACGCTACGGAGTAATTAAGTAATTCCTACCTATAGTTGGGTGGTTTCTGACCAAACACATTAATCTGAGTTTGTGATAACATACGCAGACGACGCACCGATTGCTTGGGAACCTTCAGACCGCAGGCATAGATAAAGACAAGTAGGTATGATAGTGGGCCGCAGGTATCATAGTGGTACTGGCAAAGAAAAAATAAAATAATAAAAATAATAGTATTTTATTTCCTCTATGGGTTCTGGTACATAGGTACTGGTACTATTCAATGGCGTAAAATGATGGATGCGCTACAAAATAACTTTTGTATACCACCTTGAACTTTGAATATCCGAATACTACAGTGTATCTATTTAAAACTGAACAACTTGAGTACGATTTTCCAGATGGCGCTTGGTCGAAAACTTTCACATCCACGTGACGTACCTGGTCTATTTATGTCTAATCTTTCTTGTCTTTCAGTTTTCAACAACACACGATATCTAAAAGGTTGCCATAAAATAACTGAAAACACAACGTCGCCGTTAAATCGTAAATTAACATTTCGACCCAGACGAGATCTTGGTGCGTCGTGGACGAAGTGTTACGAGTGATTCTGTGATACTTTCGAGATCATTCCAACTGTCTCTCATCTCATCGAAAAACAATTATCTGTTATGTGATTTCGGTACGTTTTCATCTAAGTGTGTTTTTGGTGCAATTTTTTTGTGTTTTTATTTTTATAATGGTTAGTATTTGCAATGTGCCGATTTTTTTGTTGGCCGTCCGCAGTGGCGGCAGAACAAATGAATATCGCCCACTGTCGTATAAATGGTATGCCAAACGTCAAAAATGACGTCAATTTACGACGCCCCCGCGACGACGTTGTTGAAAAGAATAAATGCAAAATTTTTCGGTTTTAATGTGTTTTTATCTAGCCGGTAGCCAATATTTGGGACGCATTTATCCTATGTTAGTGTTTACTTTTTTTTAAATGCCGACCAAAAAAGTTTTTTCATGTTACTTAATTATTCAAAGTACCTACCTAACTTTGAAAACGTGTACTTTATTTTCGATTGAAATACATATTTGCTATCATTATCCAATAAGTTAATCAACTAACTATCTTACAATGATAATGTAGATAATGTCCGGTACTTACGTTAAAGTATTTACTAAGGAATTGTAAATACGACTGGAATGTCAGCAGTTCTTAATTTGAGATTATAAACTGCAGAACTTTACAGTGGATTTTTCAGCCTTCAAGCTAAAATTGCAATTAATCCATGATTAAATGTACGCAAAAATAATGAAAGAGTGACGGAACAATTTACTGTGTTCTAAAATTATCGACAGTAATATCGGGAAAGAAATGTGCAAGAAAAACTTTTTTACAGCTCGAGCGGTAGGTATTTACTATTTAGTTAGATTGTTTCTCGAATAAAATACGACACTAACAAAAAATAAGAAGTAAATATATAAATTTGTATCTACAGGGTTATTCAGATTATACCACACGGAAGATTGCGGCAAAACTATTTAATTTTTAGAAAGTCATCAAATAATTTTATAGATGAATAGAAGACCCGCGGGGGGACATTTGAAAATTATTTTCTAAGGTACAGTATGTCCCAATTAAGTACTAAATTCAGCCCAAAGTTATTTAAATCTTAAATTCTTAACACCCATTTTCAAACGAAATTCTTCCATGCGGCTACCAATAGAAGCCGTTTTGGGACAAATGAACAGAAACTCGATCGACGTTATAATTTTATTACACACAAAAGAACATAAATAGTTACTTACTTTTCACCATCATTTCATTGATTTTTTCTATTTTTATTAGTTTTAAAATTATTTGGACATCTGTCAACTGAAATAAATCGGTCGGACAGTGACTTTTAATACCATTCCAAGACATGTTTTCGAATCTCTGTCTTTACAGCCCAGACAGCACCAAACGTGGTATGAACTAGCTAAAAGACGTCAACGTCATAAATGTTGTCACGTTGATCGACGCGATAATCACGATTATACGACACAGTGAGATAAAGTTCATAAACGACGTACGCGGACGTCACCAAATTTTGAAATGTCACGTCTTGTCTCTTGTCTTGTCTGCAATTGCATTTAGCCAAACTATAGCTTATAATTAAAATACATTAGATACCTATATTGTATCAAATGAAACAAAATAAATGATTCAAGCACATATTTATTACATAAATTGAAACACAATTGTTTGAAGGAATACACAGTGAAATAATTATTAAACAAATAGCAAAACCATAAAAATTCAAAACATAAACTAAAATTTTGAAAATCAAGATCTTCTCGAATATTTAATGTTAGCAGCAAATGGGAGCAAAAATTATGTAATTCCGTAATGCTTATTAATAGGCACGAGGGCGTAATCAGATTTAGAACGTATCAGGAAATAAGGAAAGAGTATGAACATAATGTAAAACTAAAAATGTTCATCAAAAGAACTGTATACCTACCTATAAGCAATAATTTCGTTTATGAAAAGAAAAAATTACTAAAATAGTTATTATGATGTATTACTATATATCAGTGAATTATACCGGGTCCGTCATGAAAGCGACATAGAAAAACGCCAAAATTGATTAATAATATTTAAATGCCAAAATAAAAGGATTTAATCGAATATCCCTTAGTAAACATTGCTTGATTACGATAGTTCAGGGCATTTTCTTCTGTTATTTTCAAATGTATTCGATAATTTCAACAATTTCAATTAAAAGTTCCCAAAACAATTAGAATACTGAGTTTTTGATGGCGAGAAATTCGAATGTAAACTTCGTTTTAAGATACTTGGTTGAAAAAAACCTTGGAATGGGAAAAAAACCTTGGAAGTTGTGTCGGAATTTTAAATAGCGTATTTTCTAGACCGATGAAGCAGCCCGTTTTTGAAATATTGTCGAATTAATGTATTCAATAAATAACCAATTAGTAACTCCAATTTAATCAGTAAGTATGTACTCTAAATTGACTTGAGTACTAATTAAGTAACTGAGGAAAATGTCCACTATTTACCTCAAAATCACCTATATAAAATAGCTTACTGGTTTCCTATAGTACGGAAAAAAAAATTGTAAAAAGTTTTTGCGCGCCCCAGTTTACTACTCATAAAACATGAAACAGATCTTAAAAATATATAAGGGATTAAGATCTGGACTACGAGGTGGCCTAGAAACGTTTGTCACCCGCCTGAAAATCGTTTAATCAGGATTTTTTTTATAGTATTTTCACATAATTGTAATTCGCTAGATACTGCAACATTGTGTTGAAATATTTCCCCTCCGTGAATTGTTCGGTTTTTCCAATTGGCTGAACTTTCACTTCATCGGTGTCACCATGCCACCGACATTGTCATTTCCTTGCTCTTCTGATACTATTTTTATTGCGTTCAATTATATCCTCGTTTCTTTATCTCTGTTATCTCTGCTCATGTGCTGTTATACCTTTTTAATCTCCCTTATCATGTTGTTTTTAATGTGAACGCCTTTGTCCGTCCTTTGTTACATAGTTGCTAAATTTATCTACTCGAAACTATGGAAAGGTCATACTTGATTCTTTGTTACATGTTTGCAAGCTTCGACTTGCATGAGCCTGGCGATAACGCATATGAAACCGTTTATGTAATACCTACATTCCACACTTTTAATGATTTTTCATCAATTCGTATATTTTCAACTGATTCAGTCCTAAAATTTGTCATTGTTATAGTTTATCGGCTATACTTATTAAATACCTCGCTTAATGCATTTTCAAAGAATGCCGCTACCTGTCGGGAATAATAATGAAAGTCACTTTATTTGCATTGTTGTTCTGTCGTCGTTTTGTTTTTTTACTCGTAATTATTATTTTATGTGCGTCAGTTTGCTAAAGTATCGAGCTTGTCATTAAAATGGAATTGAAGAGTTGAACAATGTATAAGGAAGGCAGACAACGAACAAGGATATTTGCAGATTTTCAGTTCACTTTTTTGGATCAAATTCGTGAAGCTCAAGATGAAAGTGGCTCAGTCCAGACAGCGAATTTCTGCGAATTGTTTATTTTGTATTATTTCTATTTTAAGATATTTTTCCAACGTTTTAATAACAACTGATCAAGTGATATTAGACAATAACAACTTTAAATGATGCAATATTTTGCTATTGCGCAATAAATATATAATATTGTTTTTATGCCAGACACAATATGTATTGCACCTCTTTAGTATCAACTTTGTTAGGTTTTTGAATTAAGATTTTCGACTTAGATACAGGCATAGATCGTGTCAATGTTAAAGTGAAGTTTCATCAATCAAGATAATTAGTCGACTTTATTTATTCAACACTATCCAACGTACTGATGAAAGTATAATAATACAAAAGCATTTTTTTACAAACTTTGTAACATCAGGTGATGTAATCTTTCTTCCGCCTTATCGCAAACGTGAAGGATTTAATATGGCGCCCGGTGAGTCCGGTTGCAAATTTTGGCATGAAAATTAGCTCAAAAAGTTTAGAAGTCGTTAGCATACAAGTAGCGATTCGACCTTAAAAAAAAATTGCCATGTTGGTGTTGAGTGAACTTCTGATCGACGACGATTGAGTCGCTGAGTTGTGTTAAATATTTGCTCAGTTTTAAAACTCCCAAATATTTTTAAAAAATCCGAAGTACTGAACAATAGCTTACAGTAACAGAAATAGAGAAGCATAAAACATCTACCACAGAAAATGCGTATGTGCTTTGCGTTCTTAACTCTCTCCATCATCATCATATCTGTTAGTAAATATTCAGGTACAATTGAAGATTAGGGAACTCATTTTTACATTTCTATCCAAATTCGACTCCGTTTTTCCCGTTTATTGGGACATCCAAAGATTTTTATGGCAATACAGCCTGGCTATAGCTTAGCAATTCCGATCCTGAAAAACTTTGATAGCCCATAATTCCTGCTGGTTTAGAAAATTTCAACGGATTACCTCCTGAAGACACTCAATCTTTCCAATATTTATTTTCTCATTCTCTCATTTCAGCATAAAACCGCCACTTATAATAAATACCCCTTCTATGAGCAATGAAATAGTAACAGAGTCCTAAAAAACGATTCAGTTGAGTGATAAAAAGTATAAACAAAGATATAAGAAGTTGGATTGTAATGTCGATGATAAGAAAATGAGAATTATGAATCGTATCTAATAAATGATGAGCAGCAGAAGGCGACACAAATGTGGAAAATAGGTGTACAAACTAGTCAGCAATTTTCTTGCGAAGAAAGTAATAGAAATAAAGTTCTCATTGAAAGAAAAATGCAAGGAGTACAATTATTGTGTACCGATAGAAAAATATTAGTATATCATTGCAGGACTGTTAATAGAGAAAAATTATTGCTCCGAGAATTGAGCATTACGAGATTCATAGTTTGGTTGGAAAATATTTTGAAGTTCTGGATTCACCGTTTCATACGAGCTCCAAAATTTTATTATTTCAACCTGGGAAAGGTTCGAAGTATTGGAAGTTTCTGAAATCATTGAATTGAACTTGAAGTCTTGATTCCAAGATGGTATCTAAAAATGCTTATTGTTTATAGAGCACGAATAATTATAAGTTTCATTGGAATCGTTTGGTTTCCGTCCACTCTGTCCTTTTTACTGCAGTTGTTGGACAGCTTATGTAAAATTTTGAGCACTCAAAGTGGATTTTTCATTCATTACAGCTAGAGTACAAATTAATGGAATTTTAGAGTTGTAGATAATCTTTTCAATGCTTAGATAGCTAATTAGCCGTTAAGGAGCCATCAATATAACGAAATGCATAAAATAAAGATAAATTGAGTTCAGAAGACCAACAAATGCAGATGTGTTTATTACCGTCAATTTTATGAGTTAGTTAAACGTACATACTCTATGTTGACGGATTTTACTGTTGATAAAGTGGAACTGATTTATGCCACCTAGAATTGAATCAGCACGTTCTTCAACGGGCGTTTCAAAAGCAACAACTACTCTAAACAGCTAAAACGTTAATTTTGTTTTTATTTTTTATAATAGAGTTACTTGGGATGGCGATCTTTTAAAAAATTGACACGCATAAGGGTAAAAGAATGTGACTAAAATGATAATTCTAGATCAATATGGAGTAATAGAAAACTGATGTAGGATATTCTAAATTGTATGAAAAATTACGAAAACCGCATAACATTAGAAGATGGACAATGAAAAATACATTCAAATTTTAATTATGTTGACGTCGTCATCGATGCAGTCTTGATATATACTCAGAACAACGTAAAAAAATAATAATTATCAACAGTTTCCAAATAAACTGAAGTTTTTTATAGTCAACACAATTATAAGTATAATTTACTGCAGCTTTTCATAAGTTGATTGACGCTTCTTTACTTCGATTCTAATCATAACGCAGACGCAACAAATTTCAAAGACTTGAAGATTCTCTTAGGGCAGAACTCTGTATTTAACAGATTTTAAAATAAATTGAAATTATAAATTAAATAATTCCAGTTCCAGCGGAACTCTCTATATGACCTTTTGTGGTAATCTTTAAGGTTCAAATGGGAAAAGTTCGTAGAAACTTACAAACTCATTTAGGAGGAACAATTCAGGAATTATGAGCCGTACTAACTTTGCCATTAAGTAATATATTTTTCTCCCGATCAATACAATAATCAAATTTACTCGTTAATTTCCACTCTCACTGTATGGTGTTTTCCATATGAATTCGGAACAGAAAATCCAAAAAAGATAATTTTTGTTTGGAAAAAAAATATTTTTTTTGTTCGAAAGAGTAGATATACCTAATGATTCGCATTTAAGCGTCCAAGACGTCCATCTTTACTTTCACTTCCCATAAAACAACTTTGAAGAAACATTAGAAGGTCTAGTTTTGTACCACTGATTGCCTCACTTAAATTCGCTAGATTTATTTTGCATTGTACTTAAAAATAGTAGTCTTATCCGTGCAAAAAACAAGTTTTTGAAGACTTATTGAATTGGATGTTGGTTTACCACGAACATACCTACAATAGATATTCCATGTTTCGAGCAAAGGAATGCAAAAACTGAATTTATTCTTTGTTGAACGATGGAGCCAAATTGATCAGTAAATTCGTGTTTAAATTGTTAGAACCAATAAAAAATATTTCCGTACCTCCATCTACAGGGCGAAAATATTAGTATTGAGTCGATTCGTTCTTTCAAGCTACGTCCATTTTAATATTACCTGACAGGATTGTTTCAGTATGATCAACCATATGAGGCATAGTATTTATATTTAGCGAGTATTTTAAAGGTTATTTGAGAAAGTCGCTTTTAACTGCGTATTTAGGAGAAATTACCAAAGGAAAAATTGAATCTCATTTTAAAGTGTTTTGTCAAAATCTTGGCGATTGCCCATATATTCTCGGATACTTGGTATGAAGTGCGAGTGACACCCACTTGGATTAGACATCAAAAAAGTTAAATATGATTTACCTTGCCAATACACTTTGAAAATAATATTCGAAAAAATATTAGATTAGTACAGTATACACATGTATAAGCAGGTTTTATTTCGGAATCCCCACATCCAAGTCATAAAAATGTTCAAAAATTAAACAAAGTAAGACATAAGCGCTTAGTATGAAAAATACCAATATTTGGTGAAACTGAAAAATATTTATTTAAGCATGATGATCAAAAGTGCGTCTAAAGCTACGTTCGCACTTGGCAAGTTTAGTCCCAGCAAGTACTTGCGACCACTAAACTTGCTTTTTGTTTTCTTTTTACACATTTTGAAGTTTATTTGGTAATAAGTTAAAAATTTGCCAATAATTTAATAGTCATGCTACACCGCAAGAAAAACAAAGAAAATTTGATTTAATGAGTTGCAGAAATATTTTCAATGGGCCTGAACGATTATGAAAACAAGGAGGCAGCAATTGAAGAGCCTGATGCCTATAGAAATGTTATCACATTATTTTATCAAATATTTCAAGAACTTCGGACACTTGTTGAACCTAAATTTACAAAGCATATTCAGTATAGATAGTGGGTAAGTAGCTTTTGGCAAAATATCAAGACAACATGGGTACCATTTCCAATTTTTTTTCACTTCTTGCCTATAAACTTTTGTTATTCTTTTTGACTTGGCTTATAGCATTTTCAGTATAGATAGTAGGCAAGTATTTCACTGTATTCACTGGACTGAATTTATTTATGTGATATTTTAACATTATGTTTAAGAACACAATTATATCATTGCCACTCACTTGTAAATTATAAAAAATACGCAAAGCAATTTAGGCCATCGGTGAGGTAAAATTCTGGTAAATACTTGTTGCCGCAAGTTCTTTGGTTTAGTAAACGTAGCTTTGGACATTAAAAAAAGGTTTTGTCTAAAACCGTTTAGTCGAATAAGCGCTTAGTAACATCCATCGCTATCCACAACATCAACTTTAGTAATAAGCAACTAAGTAAGTAACTATTTTTACAAATAACATGGACTTTTTAAAGACAAATCGGACACAGCTGAGTAACAAGTCTATCTTCTAGATAAGTAATGTTATTTTGTTACTATATGACGCAATTTGCAAATAACTGCGATAAGTTCCAAATTCAAGCTTAAATACAAGGCTCTTCAATAGTAAATTTTAATATTTCAAATACGTTCGTTAAATTTTTTACTGATTTATCAACTTACAATTTAAGAAAAAGTGTTATTGAACTGATACATCAATACAATAATTTAAAAATGTATGATCCAGTAAAGCTCCTCAACTCGGCATAATTTCCATGGATAATCACTTCCAGAGTTCGACTTATTTTACTAACTCGTTCATTCATTCTTCGTTCCGCCAACAAATCAGGCAGTGTACACTTTCACTGAGTAAAATTAATTACCACTTCAAAACAACCTCGTATGAATATTTCGCTCTTAAATATAGTTCATGAATTACGTTCAAGGTCTGGAAATTTGTAAGTGGTAGTTTCCACTATTAGTTGAATTTATTTTTTTTTTTTAAATATGGAAAATGGTATCCTCAGCAAACCGTCGCGTGATCACGAATCATACCAGTTGAACGTGTGACGTACACCTAATAACCACGCTTCATTATAAAAAAGGATATTAGAAACATATAATAATATTACCGTTAGGATAAGTTTTGCACTTTCCGTTAATACACATTTTGCGAGACTGCATGCATATCAACATTGTTGTTTACTTACATATCCATCATTTTTAACGATTTCCAGACTTGTATCTATCAAAACAACCAGAAATCGACGAAGATTTAGAAACATTCAGGTTTGATGAGGCTGTTTTTAATAATTAACAACGCAAATTCCTGCAGAAAATTTACGGACGTAAATAAATGCAAGGCAAATAGTTTTTGATTTACAAGCATAAAAATTAATATTATTCAAACAAATAACGTGGATTTTAATTAGAATAAATTACGTTTGCTTTAAAGAAGACTGTATTGATGGTTCAATCAATCTAGTATATGTATCAGATCACTGAGTTTAGAGAGTTCAGGAATTGTTTGGCTGAATGTAGCGCAGTTTAATAACAAAAAAATGCTAGAAATTAGTTTGCAAATAAAATGTTTTAAATTAACTGGTTAAGTCGCAAATTATCGTAAATTGGAAAAACCCTGTTGAAATGAACGTCGCCAATGTTTAAATTGACACCATAGTTGTTGATTTATTCCCAGTTTTTAGGTGTTTCTATGATTAATTAGGTACGCCTACTTGTTTCATTGCCAATTAACTAGACTGTAGCTGTAATGCATAGTGCACACTTTATACACAAACACAAACTTTTAAAACTGTTTTAATGACTTGACTTTAACTGACTGCTGATAATATCGGAAATTACATTTCTTTCGATGTTTTACAAACATGACTGTTTGAAATTGGCATGCATCTACCAAGAATATTGTTGAAAATAACATGCTTACTCATGAAAACTTATTCTAATAAATTCTAGGCTCATGTTTTTTTAAAGCAAAAGGGGGTAATCAAGCAGGGAAGTGCTTAATTTTTCCGGTATTCTTAGTTGTAAAGGGTGTCCTATGTTTATGGAGCATAATTGAGGTGATGGTGCAAATTTACCTTTTTAAAAAACCCAGTATTTTATAACATTTTTATTGATTTTATGAATTATTGAGACTCTTCTTCTTTTGTAGCCAATAAAGCTTGATTACTACATTGATCATTAATAATTCTGATGATATCGCAGCATTAATAAAAGCTTGAGAATGAAGTTATCGTTAAACAAGGCACATGCAAAGCAATGCGCTCTTTGCAGAACCCTAAAATGTATGTCTCGAAAGAAATTTAATTACAACACCCTGTATTTTATAGTGGCAGTAACTAATTCTCTATTCGTTATTCACTTTTGCCTTAAATCAATCAGTGTATAGATTGAATGCATTTTTTAATTTATTTTACATTGTGAACAAATACCAAATAATTATTTTCAATATTTGCATCCATTTTAGTAGAAAATATACACAATTTTCCACAAGAACTTTGGAAAATTAAGAAGAATTTCTTCGAAATGAAAGCGTCATTTTATCTTTAGATACGCTTTTTCCACACTCTTAATTCTAAGCTCTGAAGATGATAGGTTTTGCTAATATAAATTGATTACACTGCGCGATGTGAAATTACATTCATTCTGGCTCGCATTTTTTAAGAAGGAATTAGTCAAAATATTCAAGTTCGGTATCGTTCTTTGCTCGAACAAAACAATACTTTTTGTGCATCAAAAATTCCCAAAGTTGAGACGAGAAAAACCTATTCAATTTCAACGCTTTTTGGTCATTGAAAAACTAAGATAATATCGCATGACACTTTTAGATAAAAGGTGAGTTGGAGTTCTGGTTTTAGACATAAAGACTGGGTGTTCAAGTTGAAAGTTTTAATCAGCATGAGATTTAGAGTGCACCGAAAAACGCACTATTTTGTGCACGATAATAATATATGTATTAAATAAGACATCTTAAGGTGCGTCTATTGGTAAACGAAATCCTGTGAATCTCATTGCAATAATTGTAAATAGAAACATTGTGGAGACAATCAGTGCGGCTCAGAGAACACTGCCTGAAACAGAAAACGAAGATAAAGTTTCGAAAAATGCAGGAAGTCTGATAAACAAGAAATGGAATTACTAGGAAAACTAAGATAACTGATTAAAATTATAACAGAAGCCGTAAGAACCGACTTTGGATCTACAACTTAATTGTAATAATAATTTAATTAAAAATTTAGTCTTTGCGGTGGATGAATTTACTCAACTAAGATAAAATAATATAGAAATTGTAAGACAAAAATGCGCTGACTTCTGTATAAATATTAGCGAGCTGCATTTACTCACAACGAGAAAGACTGGAGCAACAAAAAAGCAAAGTAGTTTTAAAGAGTAAAAGAATAGACAGTGTCAAAAAAAATCACAAAATTTGCAAATAAAAACAGAAATGTGGAAGCATTAAAGCAATTAGTTCACACAAAAGGCAATGAATATGAAAAATGTGAAATAATATTTTGTAATAAAATGGTTACAGGAAACAAGATATGTAAAAATTTCAAAAAGTTCTTTATGGAGAGCAGAAAGATGTCGGAAAATATAAAACCAACAAAATATTTAGGAAGCTACCCATGCAACAATAGAAAATGATTGTCAAGTGAGAAAATTTAGAAAAATAGAATGTTAGGATTATATAAAATATTTTAAAAAAATCGAAAAGAAGAACACCAATGAACTTTTGAACCAACCAAAACTTTTATTCGAAAAAATGAGGGATAAATATTGAGCTGAATTGTTGCTCAGTATCTGCAGTTTTGTTTACTGGTGTGGCCTGATCAAAAGATGTAAAAAAAAAATTCTCAAAAGAAATAACAATAATCTGTCGGTTTTAGAGCTTAAACAATCTGAATTTCATATGGATGAAGATTCATATCTTTGTGCAAACTTTAAAGCAAATACATTTCACATTGATCTATCGTGATCAATGTGAGTTCTGCAACACACACACAAGCTAAGCTTCAAAAACATACAGTAATAGAAAATTTGCTCAGAGTTGCAAAGTACAACTTTTCCAAAACCTGCCATTCCCAGAGACCACTTTGTACCTGCTAGTAAAGCTCACAATAAAGCATCGTCAAAATCATTTAAACACATAGATCAAGCTGTTTTACATATTTTCCATAAACTTTAAAACTGGTACCGTTTGCCGATCCTACATAGACCTGCATAACATATATAAAAGTTAATGAGTCCACATTAAAAAGACACTAAACATGTAATCAATGAGGAAAATTACTTTGGATAGTGCCAACCGTTAACCCCATTAAGTAGAAAATCAAGAAAAATAAAGCGCTTTAGAGGCAATTTGTAAGAACCCACGTGGGATTAACGTGTTTAAAATTGCCTGGGTATTAAATTTAATTTTATACCATTACAGTGTCATTAGCAAGAGATGTTCTAAATGCAGCAGACTCAATTGCCTCTTTTTGGAAGTTTAAAAAAATAGTGATTTTGTTCTGTTTTATTCCCAAACGACTTCCTAATTTAAACGTTGTAGCCTATTTTCATATGAAACTGTAGATTCATGTAAAATATATTACTAGGATTAACAGGCATTACTAATGAACTAGCTTTGAAAGGTTACTTATATCTTTATAAACAGTAGTTTAGTGTAAACTCTCTGGATCTATCCAGGATTAATATTCATATCATAATCCTTAAAATGCAACATTTTAAAGCTTACTTAATTATGCCAAGTTAATGAAAACCGCTAATTGAATAATCCCAAGCCCACTAAATATAACTGAGCGTTTTCCGTAAGTGAGGTCTGTAAGTATAAAATATCTAGGGAAATATTTAGAAAACATATAAGCCAAACTTTTTTATTCGGTATTGAGTAGTGGCACATCTGTTACCGCTGTAGTACATTTCGCGGTCCTGATACATCTCTAATTTTAAATACATACCAGCTTCAATACCTAGAAATAACCAACATGTAATTTATATATATTTTTTCATTTTCAACAAAATATAGGCTTATTTTTAGGGATTAGTTAAGTGAACGTGGCTGATCGTAATTGAAAATGGCATCAGTACAACAATTTTGTGCGTGTAGAACTGAAAAAATCGTCCACGAGTGTCCACACCAGCTGTTCTAAAAAGTTTCAAAGGAACTAATAAAAAATGTTCCGAGTAACCCGCTATATTTCGGCATGCTATTTATTGCTTGTCCCTGACAAAGGCTGTGATTGGCTTAAAAAATATGATAGAAATCAGCTAAATGAGATTCAATTTAAAATCGGAAAACCCAGGTCAGTTTCGAAAGCGAAAAAATACTTGGCAATGTAAATGCACCAGAACTTTCCTTTTAACGTACAATTGTTAGTTTGTTAACAGACAATAGCCAAAAAACCCACAAATTGCCTAGTTACAGTTCTGTAGAGTTGTCAGGTCGTGATTAATTACCAATTTGACTCAATTGCATCTGTTGAGTAAAATTAGCGGCCATTACTTAACCGACTACCTAGCCAGGTGCACAAAATGCGAAAATAACATCCGTAATAGAAAGGAAAACTTTGGAGAACGAAAACTACGGCTAAATATGGTTTTGAGGCGCCATTAGTAAAACATGAACTTTGCAATTTCGATAGAATCATCCCAAAATAAATTCCCCTCTAAAAACGGAACTTATTTGAATTTTTGTGTTAGAGTGTATACTAAAATGAATATGAAAGACATTTTGTTTATTTGCTACATTTAGATTTAGACTGAAAGCTCTAAAATTGTCTCTCATGTCCTTACTTATTACTTGGATTATTTGGTTCTAACCCATTCAGTGGATTTTATCTTCAAGAGTCTTTAACAGCAGTTTATGTAGCATTAGAGACTTACATGAGCAGACGAGACTTTGTCATCCTAAGAAACATAATTTTCTTCCGTAAGCATGCTAATGCGTCGGAAGCTCCAGATAGCCACATGTAAAGTTATTTTTTTAACATTCACATAAGGTTTGAGTTTTTAACGCATTTTAAATCATAGAAGTTGGTCAACAGAACAGGAAAAATATCTCGCTGGATGCCTCAATAAGGCAGAAGTCCTAAATAATCCTCTGTTTCCACTTTTTTTCAAACGTTTCCAAATCTCAATTATTTTTGTATTTCCTGTTGCAG